TTCACACTCACACATTCACACTACACTCACTCAACAGCACTGAATTCCTTGGACGACTTTCAGAGAGTTATCCTAGGTTCTTGAGCTGGGAGTGAGGTTTCATTCTACTGGATACGACTCGTTCTTGCCATGTCGTTCGATACGGATAGGCGGACTTTATGGTATCTCCAACTTCTTCGTCCAGGACAACGACGGTCAGATTTTCAGGTGCCGATGGACCTCCCCAATCGTCCCGACATGGCCAACTAGAGTCGACCAGACAGTAATGAAATGTTTGCATCAGCTGATTCTCAGCTACATAAGCGTCGCCTACTCATCCAGGAGGACCAGGTGCACATTAGGAATGCGATGTTATATCCAGGGACGATGACTTTAATTATGTTTTACTCTACTGTTCATTTCTGCGAGAACCTGTGATCGTTATTGATTTAGAAGCAGAGGGAAATGGGATGGCTCTGTCGAGGCCGCTTCAATACAAGCGTTGCAAGACAGAGACGGACTTGGAGACATTCAAGATTTTGGTCGAAGGACAAGAGTTTTTGTTATATCCCCTTTTTCGGAAGGAATCTCAAGTTAGCTCATCTAGATATTTAGTCATCTTAGATGCCTGCAGAATAAAAGTCAAATCGTACAAAGAAACGAAATACTCTAATTGATAGTGTGGTTCATGCAGTTGAAGACAAGCTTGCCGTAGTGCTTTGTTCTTGAGCCATTTAGTCCTTTAAGGTTAGAAAAGGGCGACGAGTACCGTTATAACAAGCGGCATGCACAAGCATATGTTGATTTGAAGTCTCATAGGTAGGTACCTAGTTCAAAGTTGAACCTTGAGCTACCTAAAGACAAGAGGCTTTCGTTATTCCCGGTCTTTTCCTGAATGCAGGGGTCAAAGGCACTTGCGCCACACTCTCTTCCACAAGATGTGGCTGTGTGGCCGTGCATCACAGCACAGCAACGTGATGGGACACATGCGAGACATTACGTAGCTGGACGACCCAATGAGCTTGCAATCGCGTCGTGTCCTTTTTCCGGCCGAGCTCAGTTTCAAGATTCATGATCCTCGATCCTCAAGCTCCCTTGTCAAATTCCTCGAGCCATCAACATCAACAGGTCTCAATTGCGCTTTTCACTTCCCCCCAACCGCCTTTGACAGGTCGTCGCTCGCTTTCCAACTTGCTGCGCTCTTAGCAGCTATCTTTAACTTCTTTCCACTTTCTTATCTTAGTTAGCTTTGCGACGACAGTTGCACTACCGCAATCATGCCTTTGAACGTCTTCCGAATCGCCGGTATGTTTCGACTCGTTGAATCCCATCACGAACTTGCTAACATGTTATTTAGCGGATTTTTCGCATCTCGGCTCCATCTTCATCTTGCTTCACAAGATGGTGCAGCTCAACGTTAGACCCCCCTTGTCAATTTCGACAGATCAGCAATACTAACAAACACCAGAGCTGCTCGGGTATCTCTTTCAAGTCTCAGACTCTCTACATGCTTGTCTATATTACCCGCTATCTCGGTATATTTCACGAAAGAAAGCACCATATACGCATTCTGACAGCCTCCAGATCTTTTCTCGACCGATAGCATCTACAACTTCATCTTCAAGATCCTCTTCCTTGGCTCGCAAGGTTACATCATCTACCTCATGACCAACGCCTACAAGCCTACCAACGATCCTAATGTCGACACTTTCCGCGTTCAGTACCTCCTCGCTGGAGCTGCTGTCCTCGCCATCATCTTCCCTTACCACTACACCTTTTCTGAGATTCTGTGGGCCTTCTCCATCTGGCTCGAGTCTGTGGCTATCCTTCCTCAGCTCTTCATGCTTCAGCGAACTGGCGAGGCCGAGACCATCACCACCCACTACCTCTTCGCCCTCGGCAGCTACCGCGCTCTCTACATTCCCAACTGGATCTACCGATACTTCTCCGAGACACACCACAAGGTCGACACTATTGCCATTGTTGCTGGTATCATCCAGACCGTCCTGTACAGCGACTTCTTCTACGTGTACTACACTAAGGTCCTCAAGGGCAAGAAGTTCAAGCTCCCTGTCTAAGCTGTTTCGCAAGACACCGAGATATCTGTACGATAGAGCAACAAAGCTCTCCAAATGTGTCCCATGTTCGCTGGCACAGTAACGATCAAGTAGCTACAAGACAAGGCAAGACCACAGTTTCGGTCACGACAACTCCGGCTTCAGGAGTCGCATGCACGGCGTTGGTTTGGGAGGTCAACAAGGCGGTAATCACAAAGGCGTCGCCGTTTGGCTTGGAGATTTGAGGAAAATGATTGTTGATTTCAGTGCTGTAAAGTCAAAATAGAGAGTTGTGTGTTTGTTGAAAGCTGCCATTAATTGCAGTCGCTCCACAAAGTAGTTGAGATCAACTTTCAGAGCGACAGATTAGAGTACTCTGTGAAAGATTGACAAAGAATGGAAATTCACATGAGAAACTCATGGTGATTGTTTTTAGCTCTCTTTAATTAGTTGCTCTAGGCTCTTGGCGGCGCTTTGCGGCTCATTAGTAGCCATGACATCTAATCACGTGACTTTAATCCATCAAGGCGTTACCTACAGGCTACGACCTACCCCCAGGTTCAGCTTCAACTTCATAATCACTTGTCGCATTTCATCAAAACCGTCAATATGGCTAGCGATGCGCCCGAAAAGACCACAGAGCAGACCCCTCCTGCGCCAGAGGTTCCTACTGAGGAAGCTCCTCCAGCACCAACAGTTCCTGAATCGCGATTGCCGACCCGCAAGGATGTTTCCCTTCGCGAGTTCTTGAACAAGATGGACGACTATGCACCTATTGTACGCTTTTCATCCTCATCTAATTGATTTTTCTAACACGGCGCAGATTCCTGATGCAGTTACCAACTACTACATGACCAAAGCTGGTCTTCCCCCACCACCACAAACCGATCCTCGTCTTGCGCGACTGCTCGCCCTCGCGACACAGAAGTTCATCGCAGACATCGCTGCCGACGCTTATCAGTACAGTCGAATCCGCGCATCGTCAAACACCAACAATCCCATGGGCTCCCTTGGTGCGGCGGCTGGTTTTCCTATTCCTGGACAACCTACAGGTCAGCCTGGAAGCAAGGATCAAACGAAGGGTGCACCTCTCGGTATTCAGCGACCGGGTTACGGCGGTGGTGGTCAGGGTGGTAGCCAGAACAGAACCGTCCTCACTATGGAGGATCTCGGTATGGCTGTTGGGGAGTATGGTGTGAACGTCAAACGAAGCGAGTTCTATCGCTAGATTTTGTTTCTGAAAGATACTTGTTTGCAAGGCGTTACGGTAAGGGCTCACGGAAGGACAGGGTCCATATGATATCAATACACCACGAGCGAAGTCTGGACTGGGTAAAATAGATAATCTTTAAATGCGTATGAAATCTCTCATTGAAGTCATTGCTCTCTAGTGATGTTACATGTAGTCTTTTGTACATGGGTATACCCAGATTCCAGCTCCTATTCAAACACTCTACCTCTTATCCCAAATGTTGGGCTTTCGTGTACTATAAAATCCCGTCAGTACTGTCTTATCAATCGTTTTGGAATGTCTAGCTTACGGTGCAAACTCGCCAAGCTTGTGCCCAACCATATCCTCAGTAATGGTCACCTCATGGTAGTCCTTTCCATTGTGCACCTCGAACTTGAGACCGACGAAGTTGGGCAGGATGGTGGCTGATCGGGCTTGTGTTCGTACTGGGGGCACCTTATCGCTTGTAGTCTTGGGCCAGACAATGGGGAGGCTATCGCATGTTAGAGCAGTCAGGGTAGTCGAATCGGTCGAGGCTTACGGCACCAAGTGTGGCCCTATTGACGCGAATTAGCAACTGGACAGCCCCTGAGGCGGAAGATCAACATACCCTTCCACACGGAACGCTTAAGAAGAACCCGTGTCGCGTGCATTATCACTGGCACATGTCGTTCTCGAAATTTCAGGCCGGCATCACCAAGCTTCACCATGCGACGGCTCGATCCGCAGGGGTGTTTTTCCGGATAGTTAATCCGAGACCACCACGTGACCCTATATTCACAGCATGGATCTGCTCAGCGCAGAAAAGAAGCACGCAAATTACCCGCCTCAGGCCTGACAATCTGATCAGTTTATTCCGCCTAGGGTGCTGCCGGTAGTCGAGTCGCTTGCTGCCCCGGCCACCGGGGTATCAGAAGAATTGGCCGTCGAGACCATAAGAGACGAAATAAATTGATCACGTTATGCTAGCTTAGACTAGCATTTAGGCTACTTTATTTCTACAGCCCAAGCTTTAGAGGACAACTTTTCTGACACCCTGACGCCTGGGTTCTCAGCATATTTCCGATTGAACGGGTCTCGGCACTTTGTGGTTCATCAACCTGAGTCTTGTATGAACGGAAAAAGAATCCCACCAACGAAATGAGACTCAACGTTTCAATCACGGACGATGTGACCAAGACATTGTCTGATTCATTGCGTCACTTGGTGTATACATGTACTGAATGGTTCGGGGACGGTACTTGGAACGGACGAAATGTATGTTTGATGCCAAGCCAAGTGGTATCCAAGACCGTCACTTTCAGACAACTCCAATCAGTCTTCTCGAAATCGAAAATGTTTCTCCCAACTCCGCAGTTGTCAATATAACTTGTTTTCGCCACTATGCTTTCCGTCGGCAACACGGCGCGCTCATTAATATAAGGGGGGCCATAGCTTCTGTTTCAGACGGAAGAACAGGGAATACTAGTCCATCCGAAATGGGTCATGGAAGGACATGTTCCTCTTCTTCTCCAGAGTCTGATCGAAACTTGGAACAAGTCGACCGAGACTATACGCCATGTGGGCACACGGAAGAACCATCGCGGGTGGGTAGATGCGTTAAAGGTTAACCCATGTAATATCTCATCTTAATGCAAGTGCTGCAACCTTGCCAGGTAAAGTTGCACAGGGCGCCAAGGTGTATATAAAGTCGCCATGAATCCCAAGTTATTGTTGTTGATTCTGTGTGGCTCGTTGACCGATCCTATTACAGTCTTTTGAAACAAGAAGCGAAACTTTACAGTCTTTATCTCTTCCTCTAGCAAACATGCGTTTCACAGATCTTCTTCTCGCAAGCGCCGGCGCTACACTTGCTCTGGCTGCTCCTTCTACCGAAAAGCGTGCTGCTGGCAAGTTCCTCTTCACCGGTGCTAATGAAGCCGGTGGTGAATTTGGCGAGAAGAACCTTCCTGGCAAGCTTGACAAGGACTACACATGGCCTAGCACCAAGTCCATCGATGTAAGAGCACTTCCACTTACAACTCTTCCCGTACTGACCTTGTTAGACCCTTGCTAGCACTGGTATGAACACCTTCCGTGTTGGTTTCTTGATGGAGCGCATGACTCCTGGTGGCATCACTGGTGCTATCGACGAGACCTACTTCAAGGGTCTTGAGAATGTTGTCAAGCACATCACCAGCAAGTAAGTACTCATACTTACACCATACAGAATCTTATCTAACGAGCGCAGGGGCAACTACGCTGTGATTGACCCTCACAACTACGGCCGCTTCAACGGTAACATTATCACCAGCACTGCTGACTTCAGTGCCTGGTGGTCCAAGGTTGCTAAGCGTTTCGCCAACAACAAGTATGTCATCTTCGACACCAACAACGAGTACCATGACATGGAGAACTCTCTTGTTGCCGACCTCAACCAGGCCGCCATCAACGCCATCCGCAAGGCCGGCGCTACCTCCCAGTACATCTTTGTCGAGGGTAACTCATGGACTGGTGCCCACAGCTGGGTCTCCAGCGGCACTGGCGAGGCCATGAAGAACCTCAAGGATCCTCAAGACAAGATCGTCTACCAGATGCACCAGTACCTCGACTCTGACAGCTCTGGTACCCACGAGGCTTGTGTCAGCGCCACCATTGGTGCTGAGCGTCTCAAGACGGCTACCAAGTGGCTTAAGGATAACAAGAAGAAGGGTATCATCGGTGAGACTGCCGCCGGTGCCAACTCTCAGTGCATTGAGGCCCTCAAAGGCGAGCTCCAGCACCTCCATGACAACTCTGATGTTTGGACTGGTTGGATGTACTGGGCTGCTGGACCCTGGTGGGGTGACTACATGTACAGCATGGAGCCTGCGGATGGTATCTCTTACAAGAAGGTTCTTCCTGAGATCAAGAAGTTCATCGGTGCTTAAGCGAACCATTCTAGACTGTTGAGTCTGTGATGATGGAAGAGAGGCTTGCCTCGTGATGATTGTTACTGTATATACTTTTTGACGTACATAGTTTCTGAGTACAATTATCACATTTGCCAACGAATATTTCTGACTGGGACATTGGACTGTCTTCCGTTACCTCAATCTTGTGTTGTCGCCTTCAAATATAGTCTCATAAAGTTGCCTATCTACGAAGGTAAGGTAGGTAGCATAAACACTATCCAAAGGTTTACGACGCCAAGATCAAATAACCTAAGTTTAGTCCTATGCTATCATAAAAGGATTTAAATTATTTCGTCTCTTAGAGTCTTAACTCCTCACTTGTTATATTCTGGCAACAAATCGCGGCAATTAATTCTCGAAACTGGCATGAGGGGGGAAAAGGACATGCCGTTAATTTTCCTGACTATCTACTGTCCGACTGGAACTTCTTATGCAACTACTGGAGTGATCATTCAATCTGCATGATAATCTTCGTGGTTCTGCCTCTCGTTTTGATCAAGGTCAATTTCCGTGTAAGTGATACAGGGTAGACTGACTGGAAGGTAGCATGGTGGGGTATCACGTGGAGTCGAGACCTTGAGATGGATGGGAAATGGTGAGCGGGCGTCCCCCAAAAGAGCAAGTAGGGATTGTCCAACTCAAAAACACCAAATTTCTGGCATCTCCTTTGCATCGCCATTCCAACACTGTGTCATTTGTCCCCGTAACCTCATGCGATTCCAACACGAATAAAACAAAGCCGCAAATAACGGCGTACGCCCCTTTGACGACGCCTTTAGCTGCGTGCTGGTACCTTTTTCCCTACAAAGAAGCCACCTTCGCTCTTGGCTAGTCTTAGACAAACAAAAACCCGCTTTCAACCCCTACAATCAACTGTACGATTGTCACCTCGTACCCTAAGACTATCACCCACACCTAGCGACCTCAGATCAACAAAATAATTCGATGCCCAGCGCAACGGCTTCCGGAGCTGATACGGGTGGCTCGGCTCGGTCTCGCGATCATAAGCAGGGCAACCAGGGACGAACGTTTACCCCCGACCAGGAGGCAGCTGTTATCCGTATCCGAAAATGCGAGGCCACTGCTTTTTATGACATTCTGAACCTTGAGAGTGTCAAGACGACATGTACCGAATCCGAGATCAAGAAGGCTTATCGCAAGCAATCGCTTCTGACCCACCCGGACAAGAATGGACATCCTCATGCCGATGAGGCTTTCAAGATGGTCAGCAGAGCCTTCGGAATTCTAGGCGACAAGGAAAAGAGAGACAAATTTGACAGATTTGGCACCGATCCCGATAGTCGATTTGCCAGCGCCCAGGCGAACAACCCCTTCTTCAACCAGCGAGCTGGTGGTGGTGGTGGTAGAGGTGGTCCGATGTTCCAGGATGACTTGACCCCAGAGGAGATGTTTGCCCGTTTCTTTGGCGGAGGTGGCGGCGGATTTGGTGGTGGTCCATTCGGAGGTGAGCAGACCCGATTGTCTAAGATATGAGACTCATACTAATATCGCAGCTTTTGACACAGGCCCTCAGTTTGTCTTTAACTTTGGCGGAGGTCCCGGCATCCGGGTGCATCAGTTTGGTGGAGCAAGGCCCAGAACGAGACCACGAGAAGCTGCTGCTGGACGACAGAACGAAGGCAACGTTTTCCAAACATTCCTGGGTCTACTACCTATCATTCTGTTCTTTATCCTGCCTATTATCACCTCATTCTTCTCCGGCGACTCGGGAACCTCATCGGCATCGAATCCTCGTATGGTGTACGATAACCCTCTACATCCTTACACACAACAGCGCACGACACCGAACCTGAATGTTCACTACTACGTGAACCCCGAAGAAGTCGCCAAATATTCCGACTCCAAGCTCAACAAGCTCGATCGTACAGCTGAACATCAGCTGTTGAGGGATCTCAGGAATGAATGCGAGAACGAGTTGATTTACCAACGGAGGTTGCAGGATGCTGCTCAGGGGTGGTTCTACCAGGATCCCGACAAGATGGCGCTCGCACAGTCATACACCAAGCCGTCTTGTGATAGATTACGCAACCTTGGAGTCAAGTTTTAAGGATGTGTATGCGTGTACAGTTTAAACTCAAGTCGATGGGAGCGAATGGAAGTGAATATATGTTGTACGTTTCTTGAATAGGAGTCGGCGTTGTGGCATTTCTGGGATTGCATGGCGACGAAGGAAACCGGACCTAACGGGAGAACGACGCCCATAATCACGTTATGTATTATTCAGCGTATAATGCTTAAAGGGTATTTCCTAGAGAGTATGTGTTTGTGCACTGTGTTTAGAATGAACTCCGACTGCTACTCTGGCTGAGATGTCGCATTCATGAACTTGGACCGTTGGCCTGAGCTTTAGACCGTTGAGACTATTGACCTAAACTTGGTGGGTGGAGCTAACGATTAGACCCTTAAATGTAAAGGATAGAATCTTCAACATCCCGAGTCCGGAATTACTGCCTCTTTGTCGCAATGGGTAGGTATCTTTCATGTTTGTGTAAATCGTTCATGCTTCATATTGTCTCAGTAACTTGAACGGTTATCCATGCGACTAGTCTTGATGGTAGGATAAAGATAGCCGGGGACTGGCACTTTAAAGTGACCAGAGTTGCCGTATAAGCGGTGAGCCAGGCATCCATTGGCGATACCAGGCATTTCCTTGTACATCGTGAGCTTAGGTCCTCTCAGTAAAGCAACAGGAACAAGGAGGCCCACGTCATCGCTCCCGTCGCGGCCCGTGGCTGTGGTAAGCAAGTGGCGGGGCAGACGCAGGAGCAGGAGCAACAGTGGAGGCATCTTATAGATACCCGCAACCTTCAGCTCTGCGCATGCCAAACTTGACTCATTATTTGCTTCTGCTACAAGGAAACTTTCACTCTAAAACCTTGACGCAGATATCACTTGCTTCTCGCTTCGCAGTAGCTTCTACTCTCAGCGAATTGCCTCTCTTCATGTTGCACCGCCACTACAGCGCGGGACGGACCCAGTGACGACACATCTCCCCACACGAGCTTGTTACAGTACTGCGACAAGCAGGGTCGAGCGAGCTGCAGGATTGATATATTCATGTGAACAAGACTTGTTTTGCGCTAATCTTTACTCTGATTCCATCGCGAAAATCCGCTCGAATTTTGTATACAGCTTACAGCACTTGTTACTGCTGCGAATCGCTCCCCCGCAATTCCGCATACTTGCAACAGTGTATCAGGTCACAACGACAAGGGTCAAAGTTCCATTCACTCACATACTCCTGACATGTTCCTCTGACACCTAAATATTTCAACTCGAAAACACAATCAATACGAACAGATATAAAGCAATGTCGAATAATCCTTGGGCTGAAGGAGGGAATGACAGCGGATGGGAGGAAGTTGGACCCCGCCGCAACGGACAGCCCGATAAGACGAATGAGCCAGTCCCTTCCATTCTACGACCCGGCGGCGCTTTCGATAATGAAGATGAACAGCAAGCCTGGGGAGATGCGAGAGCACAGCCGAGTTTCCAGCAAAATCCTCACGGAACTCCTGCTGCGCTACAACCAGGTGGTGATAAAGCAGAAACAAACCCATTTCTACGGAAGAAGGTCCCACAAAGACAGGATCAACCACCGACGGATTCTTTTGCGAAGCTAGGTCTCGATAAATCCAGCACAAATCCATGGCAGCCCGCCATGGATGCGCAAAATGGTTCGCTACTACCAGCTCAACCAGCACCACAGAATGGCTCGCTACTGCCACCGCAAACAGCACCACAACCGATCCCGAACCTTATGGATGATAACATCGCCAGAGACAGATGGACACCGACACCAGAACCTCTACCTGCAGGATCACCAGGTATGGTATCGCAATTGTCCGACAGAGACTCGCCCGGCTGGGATGAGGACCCATTAGGCAGGAACGACAAACCTCCTGCCCCGCCAATGAAGGTCTCTGCAGGGGGTATAGTAGATGGAAATATATGGGATGATTGGGGTAGCGCTGATAAAGGAAAGGCCAAAGCTACAGAAGAAGCGCGACCAGGTTCGCCTGATGACTGGAATCTGATAGAATCAGAGCCTTCGACAAGTCCTACCAAAGAAGACGTACCGGAGAAGCCTCCCTTGCCGCCCAGACAACCAACGCTGCCGACAGAAGGCTCGTCTTGGAGACCTTCCAGAGATCCAATCGATGGAAAGACCGAGACATATCAAATTAAGAACATACAATGGCATGACTCGAGCGCTTCACAGAATCCACGAACATCCCCGATATTGATTCAAAACGCAAACGGGCCCTGCCCTCTTGTCGCTCTGGTCAACGCGCTCACACTGACAACGCCTGCTGATATCGAAGACACTGCACTTGTGCAGACTCTTCGATCAAGGGAACAAGTCAGCTTAAATCTGCTCCTGGATGCTGTCTTTGATGAGCTCATGTCACCGAGACGTACCAGCTCTGAAGATGCTCTACCAGATGTTGGCGACTTGTACGCCTTTTTACAAAGCTTGCATACTGGCATGAATGTTAATCCGCGCTTCATACCAACAGAAGGCATAAAAGAGGCATATAAACGTACTTCGTTGACGCACCTTCATCCTGCTGAACGAGGAGACTTGATCCCAGGAACTTTCGAGAATACAGCGGAAATGGGCTTGTATGCCACGTTTTCCATTCCTCTGATCCATGGATGGCTGCCACCAAAGAATGACCATGTATACGAAGCGCTGGAACGACAAGCCGGATCTTACGAAGACGTTCAGAATCTGCTTTTCCGAGAAGAAGAGCTTGAACAGAAGTTATCAGACCCTGACGGTGGTCTCAGCGAGTCTGAGCAGCAACTGTACCAAGACATCATGATCATCAAGGAGTTCTTGGAGAATTCGGCTACTCAACTTACACCTTATGGTATCGAAGTTATTGGCAAAGCCATTAGGCCTGGTACTTTTGCCATTCTCTTCCGAAATGACCATTTCAGCACTTTGTACTGCCATCCTCAGTCCATGCAACTCGTCACACTAGTGACGGATGCGGGTTTCAAATCTCATGATGAAATTGTTTGGGAAACATTGTCAGACATTAATGGAGGAAACACTGAATATCTTTCTGGGGACTTCAGAGTTATTGGCTCAGGCGGCGCTGCTCCTTCGACAAGCGCGGGAAACTACTCCAGCAACGACGGTGGAGAATGGACAACAGTACAAAATAGACGCGGCAAAGCGCCAGATGCTGATGAAGCCCCAATGAGTTCAAGTGCTGAGCAAGAAGATCGGGATTTGGCTCTTGCATTACAACTACAAGAGGAGGAAGAGGAAAGACATAGAGCAGAAGAGGCACGAAGACGAAGAGAGAGTATGCTTTCGGAGCAATTTATTGAGCAACAAGCTCTTCAACCACCAAATGCGACACGTGGCAATCGCGGAGGCCGTGGAGGTCCAGGAGCAGCTCCATCTGGTAGAGGTGCTCGAGGTGGAGGCGTCACTCGAGGTGCCAGTGGTCTCGTCCCAGGCCGCAATAGTTCCGTCAGCGCGCCCACGACGAACATGACCAACGCTCAGCCTAGAGTACCCGCCCAAAGAGTAAGATCACTTATCCCAGCTCAACCACCACGACCTGCAGTGTCAAGAGCACCCGATGAAGCTACAGACGATGCGCCGCCATCCTATGAGCAGTCGGCACACGACAGAACCTATCAGCCGCCAGTGGGACACCCTACCCATCCCAGCAGCAGTCCTACGATTTCAAGACAGACAACGGCAGCGAGTGTCAATTCTTCGATACCGCCGGGGCACAGACCCTTTGGCCAGTTTGCGGGCAGACGGCCTTCGGGTCCAGGGGTAGGGGTAAATGGCGGGCAGAGGGACAGGGACTGTGTTGTTATGTAAGGACACGGGCGAGGACGATGATATGAGAAACGGACTGGAAACTTGGAGGATTCGGCGTGGATTTAATGGGCAATGCAAACATGGCGCTTTTTAAGAATATAATTCATGTTTCTACTGCACAGACTTAAGGAGGGGTCATAATATCTCGAAATCAACTACTTGATATGCAGGGACTTTGTGTTACCCTCTCCATTCAACGTCGTCCAATCATGAAAATCAAGTTATATGCAAGATAATCAGGCTATTTAAGAAGCATGTCTACATGTGAGACTATTGGTGGTAGGTGAAAGATGCGGTCGAATGCTGACTAGGTACTCATGTAGGCATTAGGATATTAGAAACATAAGAGCCTAAGAGATGAGATAATTTAGACCTGAGCTTAGGCTACTTTATTTTACTATCCTAAGCTTTAGTATCCAGTACATCGAACTGGTCCCTGTCTGACATTTGGCTAGGGCCTGGTGAAGGGAATACTCTCTTCCCACTTTGGTGCAGGCATAGTTTGGGATGCAGCACGACAAGTGAGGCAATCAGAATGTGGAAAGGAGAGCTAAGCGAAGCATATCAATGAATTATATCCGTATAAACTAGAGATACAAGCCATTTCCCGTGGTGTCAGTGATTCAAGCGAGATGGAAAGTTATTGTCTGAAGTGGCAGGCGGTGGAGAGTGTCAGAATAGTGGTTGCGCAGCTACCCGCTTGAACTTGTTGACATCATGGAAAGAAGAAAGGACAGTTCAATTTATGCCATTCATCGGTTTTGCTTACAAGGAACCGAATTTTTGACCCAATTCTCCAAAATTGAGCTCTAACTCTTTTATACGTCTTAGTTGTGTTGTTGAGACGCAGACCCCCTATTGTCATCATGGCTATTATCGAAGGGTGGTTACCACCCACTCGGGAAAACTACAATTTCATCCTCAATGTCTGGCAAATCTCTTATCCGATCGTAAGCACTTCACTCGAAAGCATGTGAAATGGAACGTCTAATATGAACAGATTGGCTCGATTCAATGGCTTACCAAGTGGTATGGCATGGGCAAAACTTCGGTCTCCAGTCGTCTTAATCTGCCAGGCCGTATAGGCTGGTTGACTATGGAGGTTCCAGGAGCCATGACGTTACTGTACCTGATGAAAGTTCTTCCTGAACAACATGGCATCGATGATCTGCCGTGGCAGAACAAGGTCCTTGCGGGATTGTTTGTAAGTTGAAACTTTGTCATTCCCGTTCATCTTGCCGTTGAGGGGACGTTCGCTACCGAGGTAGCCTCCTCATGAGGAGTAAATGAGGCTAATGAATGGGGAATTCAGGTGATTCACTACTCTTACCGCGCGGTCATGTTCCCCTATCTTCAGCCGTCCATGTCGCCTTTGCACATTGCGGTGTGGCTGCTTGGCTTCAGCTTCCAGCTCTTCAACGCGACATGTATAGGCTCATGGCTTGCAGCCTACGGGCCCATCACAGAAGCAGAGTGGTCATCACATTCGTCCATCCTGCAATTCTCAGCAGGAATTCTAATCTTCTACATCGGCCTCTCGGGAAACTTCTTCCACGACGAAGAACTTCGTGACATCCGACGCCGGGAGATGCAGCGGCAAGAGCGTGTCAAGCTGGAGCAGAACGGCAAGAGTGACAACAAGGGCGTGGAGAAGCACTACCAGATTCCGCAGGCGGGTTTGTTCCGGTACGTGCTGTTCCCACACTACCTATGCGAGTGGGTAGAGTGGGCTGGGTTCTGGATGGCGGCTGGCTGGGGATGCGCGCCTGCGAGGGCGTTCCTCGTGAACGAGATGTTTTCCATGTTCCCGAGGGCTGTGAGGGGAAAGAGATGGTACATGGAGAGGTTTGGAGAGGACAAGGTTGGGAAGAAGTGGGCGGTTATCCCGGGAGTATGGTGAGCTAGGATGAGGATGCTAGATTGACAGGAGGAGCCGCGTTGAGGTTAGACTGGTGTCTTACGATAATCACGAGTTTAAGCATAATAGACTGAGTGCATTGTATGAGGGTGACGGATGAAAGTATAAGAGACGAAATAATTAGGTCACCTTAGGCTAGCTAAGACTAGCACTTAGGCTACTTTATTTTAGTAGTCTAATCTTTAGACACTTCTTCTATCATTGAGTGGCGGTTAAGCATAAGTGTATAGCATGAAGGTGCATAGAGTGCTGTATGAATAGTGTTGATGAATAGACTTGATATGAACCGATGGTAAGAGCCGAAAGGAAACAGCCGAAGAGTTTATTTAATTCATGATGAAATAATAGAGTTTGTATGACAGTAATAACGGTAGATAGAATTCATCATTTACCGTTATTGATATTCCTTAATTGTTGGAGAATGAGAAGAGAGTTGCCGACTCCAATTGCCGATTGATACTTGGCACGGACCAGTTTGACCCTCCAACTCCGCATTCAGGTCTTGAACCGACCATTCAGACCTTGGAAATTACCCCAGAAATCCGGGGAAAGGTCGATAATGAGAGTAGATAATCTTACGATTGCTAATTGATCTTTGTTTTGTGGACTCGGGAAGAGAAGGGAAGATCTGGGGAGAATCTGGGGAAAGTGTAGATAATCGTAAGATGACAACAGTTGAGAATCTGGGGAAGCCTGTCTCTACAGACTACAGAACAATGACTGTATTTAAAGATACGTATTTTTGGAGTCGTTTTACCCGGATAGATTGCCTGCATGGCCGTTTTCTCCACGTGGTGACAAGTGCGAAACTGAGTGATGATCTTTTCCATCTGTCACTCAAACTTCTCCAACGCTTGACCTCAACTTTACTTGATTTAAACGTCTTCGGTTACAGAACAAGTCCAAGTCCAAATTGGCCACCCGTTCATTTCCCCGCACAATAGTCATTTCACTCTAGGCCAACCTAGCTCTCAAGCTAAATTGTTGACTCAAAATCAGCGAGAGTTGTCCGAGTTTCCGTTACTGAGAGAATGACAGACAACAAAAGAAAAAGAAGATAAGGGATCCATCCATATTAGCCGATACAGCCAATACTTTGTACTGCAACACACACAAACAGTCATAGTGCATATTTGACCAACAGGGGCACCCGCGGAAGAAATGGACATGGACAAGGGAAAAAAGAGGAAATCCAATATTGCGGGGGAAGCCATCCCTAATGCAACACAAGACCCTTGTCTAGACCCAGCAAGTCTTCTCAAGGCCTCTCATTCTAGGGCAAAACGGGGGCAAAAAACTCAGACACTCGACACTCTCTCTGCATTGCAACCTTTAAACGAGATCCTACCTAGTTTCGTGAGGGGAAATGCACACAGACATACCTTAAATACTGTACTGCTCTCGGGAAATATACACAGACTTCAAGAGGGGTTTCGCCTAGCTCTATCCCCGACACGGTAGCCCGAGGTGCTATCCTTCCCTTGGCTTTTGCTATATCAACCTGCACCCTGCTCCCCCTTTTTTTTATTCTATCCATTCTGATCTGCAGACACACAGCTTTATTCTTTATTGTTTTAAAGCTACATCTCTTTTTTGGGCTTGTTGTTTTTTTACTTTGATACCCCGTGTGCCCTTCAGTCATCATGGCTACCGCTACCTCTTCGGATAGGGACCAGGAGAAGGGCTTCGATGAGCAGTCTGAGATGAAGGATGTTAACCGTGGCACTGTTCATGATGCCGCTGGTCATGGCCAGTTTGCTACTGATGCGTAAGACTATCTCATCTTACTCGAGCCTCACTCATACTAACTTCACTTCTTAGCTATGGTAACCCTCTTGTTCAGTTCGATGCAGCTGCTGAGCGTCGACTACGATGGAAACTCGACTTGTACACCGTCCCAACTGTAGCAGTCCTCTATCTCTTCTGCTTCATCGATCGTGCCAATATCGGTACGTCTCAGCATCACCTCTCATCCTATCTCATTCTAACAACCTGCAGGTAACGCCCGTATCGCTGGTATGGGAGCCGATCTTCAGCTCGAGGGCTACGACTACAACAAGATTCTCTCAGTCTTCTACATCTCATACATCATCTTCGAAATCCCCGCCACCGTCACTTGCAAATGGATGGGCCCCGGTTGGTTCCTCCCCGGTACCTCTCTCGCCTTTGGAATCGTCAGTGTCGCCACAGCCTTCTGCAACACCCAAGCTGCTCTCTGCGGTGTTCGTTTCCTGCTTGGAATCTTTGAGGCTGGTATGTTGCCCGGAATCGCCTACTACCTGTCCCGATGGTACAAGCGCTCTGAGCTTACTTTCCGTCTGTCGCTTTACATGGTTATGGCTCCCCTTGCTGGTGCCTTTGGTGGTCTTCTTGCCAGTGCTATTCTCAAGCTTGACCACTTCGGTAGCCTTCACACCTGGCGAATGATCTTTGCTATTGAGGGTGTCATTACCATCGGCCTCAGTCTTCTCGCTTTCATCACCCTTACCGACCGACCCGAGACAGCCCGCTGGCTCACCCAGGAGGAGAAGGATCTCTGCATCGCCCGTGTCAAGTCCGAACGTCTCGCCCAGACCGAAGTCGTCGACGGTATCGACCGAGTCAAGCTCTGGCGCGGTGTTTCCAACCCTATCACCCTCCAGATCGCCTTAATCTTCCTCTTCAACAACATCACCGTCCAGGGTCTCGCTTTCTTCCTCCCCACCATCGTCGGCAGCATCTACCCCGATTACAGCGTTGTCCAGAAGCAGCTCCACAGTGTTCCTCCTTACGCCGTCGGTGCTTGCTTTGCTCTTATCTTCCCTGCTATCAGTTGGTGGGTTGACAAGCGACAGATCTTCATCATCTTATCCGCGCCCACTGTCGTTATCGGCTATGCTATGTTCCTGGGATCCCAGGAGCCTGGTGTTCGATACGGTGCTTGCTTCCTCATTGCCAGCACTTGTATGGTTTTGGGTACCATGACAAACGCTCACATCAGTGCCAACGTTGTCAGTGATACCGCTCGAAGCAGTGCCATTGGTCTTAACGTAAGTATACACATCCCAGCTCTAATCCCAACAATTCACTAACATTCTCTCAGGTCATGTTTGGCAACATTGGTGGTCTCATCGCTACCTGGTCTTACCTCGACAAGGACAAGCCCAACTACCCTATCGGCAACAGTCTCAACTGTGCTGCGGGATGTCTCATCTTCTTGATCAGCATTTCAGGATATCTCTGGATGAAGTGGGATAACCGACGACGTGACAAGAAGAACGTCGAGCAGGAATTGGCAGGCCTATCTTCTGAGGAGATTGCCAACCTCGACTGGAAGCACCCTGGCCACAGATGGCACGACTAAGATGGATGCGGACATTGAATTTTGGTTATCAGTTAGCGCAAGGCATTTGTGTGTCAAATTGGGTTTCTTGGATAGTAGCGAATTTTGTATTATGAAATAATTTGCAAACCTTCAACAGTGTTTGTATCCTCTATCTGTTACTGGCGCTTCTACTCGTGCAACTTCTTTCGTGAATAATGAAGCGACCGATAGCTCGCTGTGTTATCAAACATCACTTGGCCGCCCCTTTTGGTCGAAGCCGTGGAGACTCAATCTATTAACCGACAATGTCGCAGGGACCTGCATACCTCCTTGACACATTGTTCCATGTCCATAGTTGAGTCGTCTGCAATTCGTGATGACTCCCCGACTTTATTCATTTCCGCTTTATCATTGGTTTCGTCCTCCTTGCGTTTAAAGTTCTTTGTTCCATCAGATTTATCTTCCTTATCTGCAGGTGAGTCGTCCGTAGCTCCTAATGGCGCCTCACATCCGCCTGTACATCTTGCTTCTTTTTTGTCACTGAAATCTGAGCCTGTTCTTGCTGGCAGCCCCTCGCATTTACGTTTTGCTGCTCTCTCAGCTGTCAAGGTCTGAGAGGGTAGCCAATTCGAATTCTTCGTCATGTAGGTAGGTGGTGGTCGTAAGAGAATAGCGCCATCCACGTTATAAACATATTTACTGATGTCGGAGTTCGGAAACCATGATTGCAGAAACAATCCTAAGCCATCACAGGATTCATCTTTGTAATAATCGGGATCATGCCATGTGCGGTAACCAACAACGTGTGCCCAGTACCGATCCTCAGGTGGGATAGAGAGAATATAGCTCCAGAACAGCGTGTAAGTTTCGAGCCGATTGTTCGCAACGTCCTTCCACATCGATATCTCCACATCGGATATATAGTGTGTTTTAACAGTATATGCAGAAACACAATCGTTGTACCGCTTCCGCTGTATATAAGGCTTGTATTTTACGTTGTAAAAAGGCCAATCTAGCAGTACAATTAACATTGTGCAAGAAAGAGAAGGTAATGCTTATCGGATATCCTAATCAAAATGTAACTACCAATTGAAACTGCTGGGTAGAAAATGTAAGTCATAATGCAGTATTAATTAGAGTTTTAGTAGATGTTTGCTCTAAATAAACTGGGAATCTTATCCTCTTATGCAAGATTTTACACTGCCTTTCGAAATTAAAAGGAAGACATACAGGATACAGCTTCTCCTTTCAACAATAACATACCGTTAACTTGTAATTTCTTCGTCAGCTAAGCAGGGGCTGCCTTCACCAGTTAGGCACCTACCTCCATCATCTACCCCCATCCCTTAGGAACTTACCTCAAGTTTGGTGTTTTGTCATAATAAGGGGTGCAAGGGTGCTTAAATCTGTACTCCTTCATCTTCAGCAGCAGTGTAATTCCTAGAAGTAGGGGTAGAGAGCAGGTGCTATGTCTCGTACAAGCGTCAAGATATTGTTAGGAATAGCCATAAAGAATATAAAAGACAAGATAATTAGGCTGCCTTATAATAGCCCCGAGTAGTGCTTAAGTAGGTTACTTTATATTAACACTCTCAGTCTTAGAGAATAACGTTTCTACCACCTAGCTATGTAACAAGGTAGGAGCATGTGTAAGTAAAGGGTGAGAAATCGAGGCTCTTCTATCTCACGTAAACAGACAGACACATCAAAAAGAGGTAGGTTGATAGCAATTCACCTACTGTCTGGAATGGACCATATAGTGCATAAAAATAATAACCTGCGTGTCGCAGGTGGCTGGATCTCTCCCGCCGGGAATTGAACCCGGGTCTCAAGCGTGACAAGCTTGCATACTGACCACTATACTACGGAAGATGAACTGGCTGAGCCAATTGTAGCTGGGGATTTGTTGAGAATCGCTCGGCAATTGGTTACTAATAGCCCTCTGTTGAAGATCACTGAGAATCTGGATTGTGACATTCTGATAATTGAGTTTACGCATGCATGAGTGAAGGATGCAGCATAAGCTTGAAGTTTATTATCTGTCGATCTCATATACTTTGAGTTAAAGTTTTAGGATAAGCATTGGGGCCGTCTGGATCAATTGGGATGCATCTCATTGATCGAGACGTGTTCAAGATCATACTCTTTTCTCTCCACGGCCAATTCTTCTGATACCCAAGGGCCTTTCTGTTACGCTCTTGCGGATACAGAGTCAATCTTGAAGTCCGCGATTCTAGCCACGTCCCAGCGACCCAGTGGTGATGTTCCAGACTGAGTTGCCATCACGAATGAACATGCTTCCGCGATTCAGCGTTGTGCGGGAGCAGACTCAACATCTTCAGCTCATCACTGTTTTTTGCTGTATATACCATATTACCAACGGACCACACATCGAACTCACTACAATTGGCTTAGCCAATCATCTTCCGTAGTATAGTGGTCAGTATGCAAGCTTGTCACGCTTGAGACCCGGGTTCAATTCCCGGCGGGAGAGTCGCCTCATGAGAACTACTCATGAATTACGTTTTTTGGTGTTTCTGATGATGGTTCTTTTTTTTCTCGGAGGTAACATTGCATTAGATCCGGGTGGTGGGTGGTTACCACAGTGTCGGTGGTGCTAAAACGCCTCAGCGATCGGAGACTTGATGACGACGCATTAGGCCATGCCAGATGGGGCTACCGATCAGATCTCGCCTGTTCCGTAGTGTAAGTTGAGATCTATAATCGGTTCATGGCTTTTACTGTGTTATTCTAGAGCTACACTGCCTTGTCAGTTGATCATGTATCAAAAGTTAATGGCGAAGAAATGATGTGAAAATGTCGACTTGCAGCACAATTTTTACAAACTGGTTTTACAGGCTTGGCTTCATCTCAGAATCTCTTGGCATTCTGTTTAACGGCCGGGCCAGCACACGACCGCTTCCTCTGCGGGGCTTAGCGCTTCCGAGAACAGTCCACTAAGGACTGTCAGAGTCCGCGTATACCTTGTTCCTACCGAGTATCAGCGTTGGCATTTCTGGGCATAGGAATATTCATTACACAGCCAAGATAATACGGTGGAACTTGCAATGAATGTTTGCGCGGCACAAAAGAGTCGTGTTCGGGTGTTGGTTGCCGTGGAATCTAAGAGGGCGGTTAGATTTGAGCCTCAACGGCTGAATAGTACTCTGGAAACGGAATGAAAACGTCAGCAAAACGCTAAAATATAATAATTCTAGGCCTAGTGATATGGATGCTGAGGCTGCATGAAAAGAAGCATAATCATGATAAGGCGTTGATACAATTAATCCATGTTACCCAGTAGGTAAGACAAGGATCCAAGGATGCGAATGCCGGAATAAAGTGACCCAGATACTGGTTAATAAATGGCAAAATTATTCTGTCTCTCATGCACCTGTTAGACTTTCTTAGCGCTCAGGATTCCCCGTCCGGGTAAGGAGGCGCGTGCTCAGTCTCCCCCGCGCCCCCTAACGTTGTCGCGGCGCCGCCCACTTCCCTCGCTCGGGTCCAGGCTCAGAACCAGGGCCATCCACATCTTCCGTCATTCACTCACTCCTTCGAAAGAAGTCACTACTTCTTATCAGCGGCTTCTCTCTCTCTTTTTCCCGCATTTCTAATCATGCAAACCTCTTGTTGGTGACACTCGCACCTAGTCCGGCTCGGCCATTGCTTTATATCGCACTCCATTGTCCCAACAAACAAAACATTGTTAACTACTTTTCTCCCTGCATTGCTACACTATCTCGAGTCGAATAACACTATCGCTAGCGAGATCTGGGTTGATCGACATCCCACCACACATTGCATATCCCATTTCGACTCGAGCGATTGTCTTGCATACGACTCTACGATTACCCTACCTTCTGACAAAACAACACAGTAACACAACAGAGATGCGCTCTGTAAAGTCCCTACTCCTATGGAGTCTCGCTTCATTCTCTGCACCAGCAGCCGCCCTCCCTCCACTATCCGGCGAAACTCGAAACTTCTTAGAAACCTCGTCCCTCTCAAAACGCGCCGACGATAAACCAAAACCGAAGACTCCGAAATACTTTGTCGAAGCCGGTCGCAATATTGAGCTTGGCCACTACGATGGGCGTTACTTCAAATGGAAAATCGGATATGACGAACATCGCGATGTTCTTCGAGACTTGATCCGAAGTTACCTGTTTACTATGGACAGTTACGGCGTTGAGACATGGATCGCTCATGGAACATTGCTAGGTTGGTGGTGGAATGGGCAGATTATGCCTTGGGACTATGATCTTGATGTTCAAGTCTCAAACAGCACCCTTCAATGGATCGGCGACAACCTCAACCGTACGGAACATAATTGGAATTACACCGAAACTGATACGGGGAAATTTATATCCAAGAGATACCTACTGGATATCAACCCCCACCATGTCGACATTGACCGAGCTGATGGTAGAAACATTATCGATGGACGTTGGATCGACATGCAAAACGGCATGTACGTTGATATTACCGGCCTGCGCGAACGGGAGGTGTCACGACCAGGTATCTGGAGTTGCAAGAACAAGCATCGATACAAGAGCCAGGACCTGTGGCCCATGCGCATCACAGAGTTTGAAGGTGTCAGGGCTCGAGTGCCTTTCAACTTCAATAAGATTTTGGTTGATGAATATGATACCAAGAGTTTGGTTACTGAGAGCTGGGCAGGGTAAGTCATAATAGCCTTTCTTCGCCGTCACAACGGTGTGTTGTCGGGTTTACAAATGCTAACTGAGTTTACAGCCACCGATGGGATCATGATAACAAGATTTGGATCAAGGAAAACGAAGAGGAAGCAACGCAGCGTAAGCTCGACGCTGCTGATCGCCATTTGGCTGCTGATAAGCCTGAGGAGGCAACAAGCGAGCCCTCTACTTAAACCTACTCTTTAAGAACTTCAAATTTGCAGCCCGCGAATAAGCAACGAATCACGAACTACATTGTATTAATTTCACGAATCACGCAGAGGCAGCCATACCTCTTGCTGCACACGAGGCGTTGGATATGGATCAATGGCGTTGGAGAGCGGATTTCAGCATAAACCGTTTGGCCGAAACTGGCTTGCGCGGAATTGGACAGCGTCGTATTTGCATTGCTGGATACTTCTTTGTATGAGTCCTGTAGGATAGATGGTTGTAAACTTAGCTTAGAGATATCCCTGTTTGCTTGCACAGTTGTGTTGTGCGATTGTTTTGGATGAACATGGTTTTTGCATCAGCGCATATCGAGAAATATCTCAAGGTAGTGAAAAGTATCGATATCATAAACGATAAAGCATGTTCCTTTAGCATGGCTTTGACGAATTATTCGCTAAGTCCAGCACCTTTGTTCCAGACATCGGGCTAGGTTCTGATTATAAGCCTAAACTGGCATAAAATGACTAAATTATTTCGCCTTTTCGGCTCTCGGCCGATGCGGGCTATGCTGATATCAACTCTAGGCAAGGTATATAATACAATCACAACAATCATGACGCCTTTAGCCAACTCTTCCATGATACCTTGTTCTGCTTTTCCGTCTCTTGCCACCCGCCAAACTTCCCTCCACTCACAAGATCAACCAAGGGTGCCATGCTGGGTCGTCCATGAGCACATTGAAAAGGAAATGCACAACGTGAGAGGCGAGCGATGAGTTCTTCGCACTGTTGGATTGTAAGAACGTCGTTGAACATGATGGCACCTGACACAAGTTAGTTATACGATGGGATATGAGGCAATAATAACATACTTCTGCAAGCTCTGGAGTGCAACAATTCCAAGATGCCTCTTGGGCACCCATTGAAACGTGATATAAGGGGCTTGTCGGGAGCAGCAGTCGATGGTCGTACTAGTGGAACGCTGCTATCGATACTGCGCCAGACTTCTGTGCGCAAAAGTTCGATAAGCAGCCTAGGCTCTAAGCGACAGCGCTCGATGATACTTGGTGGAAGGCCGGTAACAACAATCTTGCCTCGTTGTAACGAGATGGGTGGTTGGTAAATGATGCCCCAAGCAGCAAAATACTCGCGATGCTGTTCCAACAGAGACCACTCCTCACTCGGAACCTCAAAGATAATTGCCCGGTCTAGCGACTCTGTCGTAGACGATATTTGATTCGTCAAGGGGTCAGTAGTGAAGTACTCCAGCATGAGCTCTTCCAGCTTGCATCGTTCATCAACTGCATGCTGATCAAGCATAACCAGTGCAGAGCCCTGTTTCTCAAGGGCGGAGCTCTCAGGTCTTGCGCTTTCTAATGATAGTTTGACCAAGATGAATTTGCGATCAACTTGGGCTATCACAGTGGCATGATGAAGTGCTTGACGAGAAATTCTCCCACTAAGATTCATAGATCCCGTGTCAAACCCAACATGGCCATTTCTACTGCAGATGTGCTGCTGATCCGTAGTTGGGCCATCAAGGCACGGCACTGACGCTTCCACGGACTGAAAAATAGGATTTTCCCATGAGCTGATTACACCCTGAAGCCATTTGCTGGGTCTTTTGTCTCGCTTCTGTGTAAGTTGATTGGTAGTACCACTGCTTGTGTTACCGTCACTTGTTTCAGAATCGACAGTGCGGATATCAGAGCCTAAGCCACTGCTCACTGACAAACCACTTGGCTCGTCCTCTGGTTCGGGAGAAGGTATGTCGAACGGTTTGCGCAATAACTGCCCACCTTCTCCAACAAGGCGACCTGGAGAGTCTTGCTCTCTTGTTTTTGTACTGAGATCTTTTGACTTTGAAATGGAGCTCAGTGGTGTGGCTCTTCCAACTTTAACTCGATGCCATCCCTCAAAGGGGCTATCTACTCGCGTTACAATCGAGTTGGACCTAGAAGCTGAGGCAACAGAGCTGGCCCTTGAGCTGTTCGATGAATTGGCCTGCTTTTTGGTTGGTTTCTTAGACCGACCTAGTTTCTTTGCTGTTGAGAATAACGATTCTTCTGGTGCTAGCTGAATTTTGCGTGGTCGAAATTGATGCTTCTTGAGAAACCCGTAACATGTCGCCTTCAGGAGGTCAATGATCGTAGACAACGTCTGACCTTGGCTGTTTAGTTGGTCCGGGTTATTGATGCCCTCCAAACTGGAGGTTGTGATGTTCAAGTAGAACATGGGCCACCGTTCGATGCCTTTTCGGCTTCGTAGCTCTCTCCCCATGAACTCATCAAGGTTTGACGACGCACCTCGATGGTCTTGGTCACCATCGATGACACCAAAACTAGAGTTTCCGAATATCCTGTTGATCTCTTCATAAAGGACGTCTGATCCGAACTCGTTGTTGATAGGGAGAATTCCTAGACTTATGAATTGAGATCGCCTTGTTGCAACAGGATTTTTACAAATGCCCCCCTTGACGGAGACAGGTCCGCATGACGCCGAGATAGGTACCCAATTGTCTGCATCACTTGAGTCCGCAAGACTGGCCTGGGTAAGAAGACGGGAGGTTCTCGATGTTATATCCATTTGGTCAGATGGTCGAAATCGGAGTTCACGCTGAGTAGCTGCATGTTTGAGTGATACAGATATACCCGATGGCCACGCAAGAAGCATGCCGACGACAGCTCGAGTCAACTTCGACCATTCCTTGTCGACCGCAGATCTTTCACTGAACTTAGTTCTTTGCTTTACTCTTACTGGCATTGTACCAAAAAGATCTCGGACTGTAGTGCGAGTTCCGTGATCAAAGTTGACAAGCCGTAACTCAGGGGGTGCGGGCAACTGTCTAGCCAAAACCCGGGCATTGTGGATTGTGATGGAGTTGTGAGAGATGTGTCTTTCATGGTTAGAAGTAACGGTTAGAAGAGAAAACGTAGCAAGGGACGCTAAGAAATCACCATGTTTTCCGTGAACCGATGACCGCGTAGGGAATTTGGATGTATCTATGCAAGCGAGAGTTAGTCAAAGTGTTAAAGCTCAACCGTTTCACTCACGGTGGAGCTTCCCAAGTCCCCCGCCATCTTTAAATTCTTCAGGTGGGATCCCGGACCCATTGTCTTCAACGGTACAATTTCCTCTGCTGTAGTCGATCGAGATGTTGACTTTAGAAGCACCAGCATCCAAAGAGTTGGCGATTAGACCACATACTACTCCGTTCAGGGACGTGATATTGACCGAGGATTTGAGCTTGTCGATGACATCCTGTGGAAGTTGCCGGATGATCATACTCTTCGAAGGATCATGCTTGTTTGCCTCGAGTCGTCTTGAGCTGTGATGTTGTTGAATCTGCAAAAAGTTCAAAACGGGAGATGACGTCGAAGCGAGCTGAAACTAGGGGTACCTGGTCTCTGGGGCGCTTTCAGGTAGCAGAAAAGTTGTCCTAAAGCTTAGGGCGTCAAAATAAAAGGAGCTCAAGTACTGGCCTAAGCTGACATAAAGTGCCCAAATTATTTCGCTTCTTTGGCTCTTAGCAGACAGTTTTTCTGATACCCAGACGGGGCCCGGGCGATCTATTTAAGGCACAGTGGGTAACGTCCCCAAATCCAGGGTCCGCATAGTGGAGGTGGCGCCAAGAACGATGCACCTTCGAGACTCAACCGAAGCTTGTAGCCACATGAGATATGAAGAGAGGACCCCTTGGGCGTGGTCAAGAGGGGTGGGAGAATTTCTGCCTATTTTTTCCGTTAATCCAGGACAGATAAGCCATAGTAGAACGGGTCAGGAACAATGTGAGAACATTCTGGTCCGTGATGTCTTTGTCTCGAATGTTACAGATCAATCACGTGATTTCGATCCCTACCATGTGGTGCTGTACCATCATGCTTCGCCGCTTTCAGCCTTCGTTGCCGCCCATACCACACACTTCGATCTGCTGACGACGTCTTTTCGAGCCTTATTCCCTAGTTATCTGCTTTCCTTTACTATCATTCTGCTCAGATTGTCGCTTCAATCTGCTTGTTACTTCTACTCCTAGCGAGCCCTTACTCTAGCGATTCTCTTTCCTTACTGTTGCCATTGTCTCCCCGCCTCCGGGCGCTGCCCAACGACGCTGTATTGGTAGTATCGACTCGACGCTTCGGACCCGTTTGACGACTTCTCAATTTGATGGCGACAACCGACGCGATTTCTCCAGAGCAAGGTGAGTGATTGAGGACTTGGGCTTTCAAGCGGGATGCCTGCGATCACGCGATGTCGCCACCTTGAAATTATCTTGGAAATCAGCACAACTGATGCTAACATGGTCAAGACCGTTCAGGTCAGCGCAGGAGACCGTTTTCAACATGGGTTAAAAAGCTCACCAATTTCAAATCTGATGGTGAGCGCCAAAAGAGGCACAAGAAGCGCAGCCACAAGAAAAACAACCCATATCCAGAGTCTGGTACGGTCGGCAACGGTGTAACCAACGGAACGAGTGCAACGAGTGCATGCACATTCACCACCACTACGGGCACAAGTAATACCAGCGTGAGCCAGTCGGCAAGGACATCTCGAGAAGATCAGGCCCCACCAACGATCGGGGGTCGGAGCCTAGCGGGCACAGTCTTGACCGACCATGAGGCCTCACATTCGCTTATAGCCCCCAGCCATAGAGCAGATTCTGTTGCCGGCACGAACCGTACCGTCGGCGGAGGAGTCGATTCTAGGAGGGGGGGAGACAGTACATTCTCAAGTCCAGCGCCATCTGTTCGATCTTTGACGACAACTTTGACTACGATTCAGTCTATGGCTCCCAACGGCCCCGGGCAGCCTCATCACCAGGCTTCACAGAACCAAGGCAACTCGCAGTCTATCCAGTTCAGCCAGCCATTCCCCACCACGGGAGCGCCTGCATCCGCTATCCCGGCTCATTTGGCTCCCACTGGCAATCCAACCACTTATACCGCTGCAACAGCCAATAATCTTTTGACTGACAACGCATCCATCCTCACGTTGGCATCATCCAGCAAGCGTCGGCGTCGGCGTTCTCTGGATACAGATGCGTCTGTGCGTGCTCTGGCTCCTTCATCTCTTTGGGGTGGTAGCCGTGAAAGCCTGCCCCTTAGTGTTCTTAGCGCAAATATCGACCCAATGGGCATGCCACCTACACCTGGAATTCACGGTAACCCTCGGTTAGGAGCCGAGCGAACGAGCATATACTCGGCCACAGGTGTTGGGCCTGCCATGGCCAGTGATCGCAACAGTTACTATGCCAAGCAAGGAGATGCAGCCAGTGTTCGAAGTGGGTTACTTGGCCATGGACGAGCCGAGAGTGTGAGCGGTAGCATTGGTGGTCTGAGCAGCCCGTTGGCTACACCACGAGAAGTATACAACGAGAAGAATGAGAACGAGAAAGAGGAACGGGAGATGACCTCTATGGCTTCTAGGACTAAGGAGGGATGAACACGTCAATTTCGCAGGAACGAATGATGCTTTACTTTCTTTTCAGTTACTGGGACGGTCGGTTTTGGCGGGTATAAGAGCGTATCTGGTGTTTTGATTGATTTTTATATAGAGCTCTGGTTCGGTACTTACTATAGGCAGTTGGGGAATGGTTTCCCTTAATATACCAACAATGATACCCTGAGACTGATTATCTTAAGAAACTGACAAGAAGTGAGTCTACGATTAGTCAGAGCCTCCCAGATGTGATCATTTACTTGAGCCCTGTGACTTGAAACGGGATAAACCTCCCCATCTACTTTCTTACGTACTAAGGCAACATTATCAATTTTAGTCATTACTCACTTCTGCCAGACGCTCGTGAAGCTATTGGAAACATTGACCGCTATGAGCTCAAGGGATAAAATAATTCAGACACTTTATGCTAGCTTAGACAAGCATTTAGTCTCTCTTAATCCAACAATCTAAGCTTTAGATTAGAGAAGGTCTTCTGTTAACCCAGTAGGGCGTCTAGGTTGAGCGAGGTCGCAGCCACTGTGGCGCTAGGCAAGCTTCCACTGTAGCTCCCTAGCTTCAGTTGTCCCACCATCGTCATCGCGCCGCCGCGGCTCATGGATCTTCCCCAATTCAAGACATTCCTGGGTGCTTCAAGATGGCCATTTCAGTAAGAAAGATCCTCCCATGATGCGCATATAGGCTTCTTCGATTGAGTCGTATTCACATTCTTGGCATACTAACACTCCATTACAGTGGAAGTCGTTTGACTTCTTCGATGTCGCCCAAATCACGCTCGCCGAAGACGAAACCCGACAGCTCTTCGAAAGCAACGAGATCTCGAGCGTTTGCGCAGGTTCCGATAGCCTCTTCCTTGGATCGTTTGATGGATATGTCAGCATAATAAACAAGTCATGGAAGATCGTCAAGCGCTTCCAGGCTTACGAGGCTGGGAGCATCACGCATATGCGCCAAGTTGAGGGGACGAGTCTCTTGTTAACGGTTGCGGTACGGCTTCTCCTACTCTTTGGATCGAACGACTGGTATACTGATGATCGAAATAGGAGGATATGAGCAGTGAACCTGTTCTCAAGGTGTGGGCGCTTGATAAACTTGCTAAGAAGACCAACACACCGACATGTCTGAGCACGGTGACGATCAGCAACAACCGGCGACAATTTCCCGTAAGTCATTGTCAGAGTTTGAAATGGGACGAAATCTGATTACTAGAAGATATCTGCGTTCGCGGCTACGGATGATCTTACACAGATTGCAGTGGGATTTACGAATGGCGCAGTCACCGTAATTCGGGGCGAGTTGGTACACGATCTTGGCACCAAACAGCGCATCGTTTTCGAATCAGAAGAGCCAGTCACCGGCGTTGAGTTAGCTTGGGATGCGATACAGAAGCTCACCACGTTATTTGTCTCCACAACCTCACGGATTCTCAAGCTAGGCCTTTCGAAGAAGGGACATGGGATGCCGCCTAAGACCGTAGAGGATAGTGGATGTGCAGTTGGTTGCATGACGCGTGACCTAAACACAGATGGTGTTATCGTTGCCCGAGACGATGCCATTTACACTTATACTCAGGATGGTCGTGGGCCGCCCAAAGCGTATGAGTCCCCCAAGAGCAAGATCGATGTTTATCGCGAATATGTTGCTCTTGCTTGTCCGCCAGCAAGCAGTACGGCGAAAGATTCCGAGGCTATGAGAAGACGATTTGGCAGTACGACTACTAATTCTTTGTTCAATGCGTCGTCTTTCGTGCTGTTGGATATGGACCTTCGGGTTATTGGTCATACTGAGACGTTGATGTCTCCGGTGGGACATTTTGTTGATATCTGGGGTGACTTTTATACGATCCTTCAAGATGGCAAGGTAAGTTGGTTCTGACAAAATTTTGTCTCCTATACTAAGACTGTCAGATTTATCGATACCATGAGAAGAGCTTGCAGCAAAGGCTGGAAATGTTGTACCAGAGGAACATGTTTCCCCTAGCTATCGAGCTTGCGCAGAAGTCCGGAATGGATAATGAGCAGCAAAGTCTTATCTACCGCCGCTTCGGTGATCACCTTTACCAGAAGGCTGATTATGACGGCGCTATGGTCCAGTATATTCGAGCGATTGATACCACTGAGCCATCCCAGGTTATCCGCAAAGTAAGTAAACTGTCCAGATATGTAATTTAAAACTGACATTCTCAGTACCTCGACACACAACGCATTCATAACTTGATTCAATATCTGGAGCAGCTCCATGAGCATCGAAAAGCAACCGCCGATCATACCACCCTTCTTCTTAACTGTTATGCGAAGCTCAAAGATATCAACAAGCTTGAAAAGTTTATCAAGTCTCCTGGGGATCTGAAGTTCGACCTCGATACGGCAATTGCCATGTGTCGCCAAGGCGGATACTACGAGCAGGCCGCGTACCTTGCCAAGAAGCACGGTGAAACCGATCTGGTGGTGGATATTTTGATAGAGGATTCCAAGAACTATGCGGAGGCCCTCGACTTCGTCTGGCGCCAAGATCCTGATATCGTGCGTATAACCTACTATTGAGTTGGATGTTCGTTAACACTATTTAGGCGTATCCTTGTTTACAGAAGTATGCACGAGTGTTGATCGAGAATTGTCCCCAAGATGCTACAAAACTGTTCGTGGACTACTATACTGGCAACTATAGGCCCCGACGTACCATGACAATACAGCATGACGTCGACACACCTACCAGTGGCGGCTTTGCAGCTGGAGCCGCAAGCGCTGTCCAGAACCTTTCCAATCTTCTTCCCCTGCCTTACATGAATACATCCTCGATCGCATCTCCTGGTACTGTCGGGAATACCAAGGCTGTGGTGAGCGACGGCAGCATTGTCGTGGATAACGACGATATTCCTGTGCCAAAATACACCCCTCCTCCACCAAGAACAGCGTTTTCATCATTCATCGATCATCCTGATGAGTTCATCGTTTTCCTCGAAGCTTGTCTCGAGGAGAAGGACCTTAAATCAAGCGACCGCACAGACTTATATACTACTCTCTTTGAGATGTACTTGCACAAGGCGAATGAAAAGAAGGGGCAGCATCATAAGGAGGAATGGGAGACAAAGGCGAAGAAGCTTATTGAAGGCGAACACGTCCCCATGGAGAGCTCGAACGTTTTACTTCTATCGCATCTTTCGAACTTTCATGATGGAACAGTCCTTGTCAAGGAGCAAGCGAAACTCCTTTTCGACATTTTTAGATCTTACACATCAGCCAAGGATACCCGAGGTGCCATGAAAGCTCTGAGGAAATATGGCCCCGAGGAACCGCAATTATACCCTGCCGCACTGGCATATCTTACTTCAGACCCGAAAGTGCTGGAGGAGGCTGGTCCAGATGAGCTGGCTAACGTACTAAACAAGATTGACAGGGATGGCCTCATGGCGCCTCTGCAAGTTATCCAGACTCTTGTTGGCCAGTCTTCAGGGGGTGGTGTCGCTACCATGGGCATGATCAAGCCATACCTGCACGATACGATCACGAGAGAGCGCAGGGAAATTGCCTCCAACCGAAGCCGAATCAACACACTCCGAGAAGATACAGAAAAGCGCCGTGATGAGCTTGCAGACTTGGGATCTAAGCCGGCTGTGTTCCAGGCGACGTGGTGTTCCGACTGCAGTCAACGATTGGACTTGCCTGCCGTTCATTTCCTTTGCAAGCATAGCTTCCATCAGCGTTGTGTGCGAAACGGCGGTAACGACAGTGATGCAGAGTGTCCCAAGTGTGCACCTGAGAACGACATGATTCGCAAGATGCGCGAAGGACAGCGCGAGAGGGCAGGCAAGCATGATTTGTTCAAGAGTGATCTGGAGAACAGCGAGGATCGTTTCAGTACATTGGCGGAATGGTTCTCACGAGGCGTCATGGACGCGCCGAGTGCTGAGTAAATGTAATGAATGAAGTCCCGGGCGAGATGCGCATGGTGTCTAGAGGAGTTTGGGTTTTTTATCCTTCTTAGTCTTGATATATACAATCAGAAATATTGAATGTTTCTATGTGATTACATATACGGCTCTAGTAGACATTGTGTGATGGGCAGAGGCAGCTGGAATGTAAGGATTGAAGAGGTCTGACTTGATAAGATCCTGATGTTAGGTCGTTCCTTGCAGCCTAGTGACAGCAAAGCTTACTCTTTCTCTTGCTAATGCTCGCAAGATCAGTATCGGCAAGGACCCTCAATATCATTTGTACACGCAAAAGTGCTACTACTCAAATAGCAAGTTCAGTATTTAGATAGGGATAATGCTTGTTTACCAATGCAGGTAGTAGCTAGGTGTTCTCTTAGACTACATGTCTTTTCCTTATTCCGATCCGATGGGTCGCTTCCAAAACTATTTGCTTTCCCTTGTTCCGCTCCATGTGATGGACCGCCTCCCAAAGCTATATATCTTTCCTTCCTTTGTTCTGATCCATGCTGCAATTCTCCTTGTTGTAATCCATTTAATGGACAGCTTCCAAAACCATAGTTCTTTCTTTCCCTTGTTCTGATCCATGCTGCGAACATCCTCTGAAATCAGGTAGGCTAAAGTCTAAGTAGACATATCGCCGTGCTTTCTTTTGCTATTTTTAGCATGATTCGGCTGACTCGGAAAGCATGGCGCACTCCCTTGATGAGATCGCCTATGTCGTAGGGTAGTTTGATAGTGATGTGACAAATTTCGAGGAAGGAGGTGAGTTCTGACTGCGGAAAGAGCTGTCCGAGTGTTTGTTCGCCAATCTCGTAGACGCACATCACTTTATGGATCGCTCGAATCAGCTCTGGTTGAAGTTGGACGGCATCCCAATCTGTGGCTAAACTTGCTGTCAGTTACTGTCTGATACAAGTGTTATGTTAGGTATTTACCTGGACAATCTCAATCAGGCTTGCCATATCTTCGTCGTCAAGGGTGATGTTCTCATCAAAAGCCAGAAAGATAGATACACCGTCGTCATTCTCATGGGGAGGCAGCTGGTCCTCCATTTGGACACAGTCCATCGGATCACCTGCGACGGCAACTTCAGGCACCAGCGCCTGGGAGGCCATACTGGCAGTCTCACCGGCCCCAGGTTTTGGCTGTGGACGTTTGATCTTGGCTGAGTAGAATTTGATTGCTTGTCTCATGTAGGCTGATTTTTCCTTGGCGTTCTCGATACTGGCGCCAGGATAGAACTCCTTGTAGAAAAAGACATGTCCGATCTCGGTTGTTATAGGGCGGAGATGGCCGTCGAAGAGCAGACACCCAACGGATATCTTTGCCTGGGATTGGACGTAGTCCGTTACCTTAATGTACGCTCGAAACCATGTGTCGTTGCGTGTCATGATTCCTCGCTTGTCCCGGGCTATCTGCCGGGATTTGCTTCGAGAAGTTTGGCCTTTGACTTCTTCATGGAACCTAGATGGGTCGCTGGCGAAGACGAGACCGATCTCCGGCATCTCCATTGCCTTGTTGTGTGGTTGCAACTCAGTATCGTCTGGCAAAGGCGACTGTTTCGAGACGCCAGGCCCATGAGTTTCTGGCTCAAAGCTGGTAGTTGTGTCCTTTGTATATCCTGTCTTCCAAAGCCAGACATGCCGGAACAGTTTCCGCCCTGGGGCGCTGACGTACACCCGATCGCCCAGCATTGATGTCGCAACGTCGTCTTCACTTGGCTGAATGATATGATCTTGCTGGGGCGGAAACTCGTACTGCCTCTTGGCCGGCGTGTTGGACGACGTGTCAGACGACATGTTGGGCGGTGTCCAAATCAGGGGGAGATGTAAGAGTTGAAGATGTCTGATTTAATGAGGAACAGCAGAAGTAGGAAGAGGTAGCTGAAGATAAAGAACAGCTGGAGGACGAAGGGCAGCTGAAGTAGGCAGAGGTAGCTGAAGACGAAGGACAGCGGAGAAAGTCAGAAGCAGCTGGAATGGAGAATGAAAAAAAAACCCGTGAGATGCGATTGTGAAGGATGAGGAGGGAAGGATCAGGAGAAGGATCAGAAGGAAACGCAGCTCTTTATAGTAACAATAGTCTAAGATTAGTGTTTTCCAGTGCCAAGCAGTGCAGTGAATCAGGAATTTTTGCAGCTGTAAAGCAGAGCAATGCTGTATGAGTAGGTAGGCAGTTATCACTTATTCTGCAGTGGCACTGGCAAATGGGCAACAGAATGGTTGTTCTTCATCTCTCAGGCTTTAGGTGGCCAAGTCTTCTGATACTAAACTTTCGACATTAAGATGTGCAGAACACCACTACAGACTGGCATCACGCTCTTTATACAGAGCATCTCTCTTGATCCAACCCCGGACTTCTTCTCCAACCAACCCGCCCAAACTCCCTTGGCCACTCTTAACGACTTCTCTTACCCGCGAACTACTCACATCCTCATCCCCTTCTCTCCCCTCAACCATCTCAACTCTCTCAACCCAAGTCTCATCACCTCCGACATCCCTCACTCTCTCCTTGGTCAACCACACCCTCTGCTCCTCGACTCCTCCCCATGTCTTGTCCGGTCTCGTAGTGACTCTCACCTTGCAGCTCTCAAAGAAAGGTCGTAGTGCATTCTGGATCCCCTCCCTGTAGTACTTTGGGTTGAAAATGCGAACTATCGTGTCAAAGCCCGCGAGGAAAGTCTGCGTAGGCTGGTCCCCAGACTCGGTAGCATAAAATCCCGACTCTTCTATCGCCTTCGCCTTGTCGTGGAAGAAAGGCATTGTGGTAACAGCGACATCAATTTCCAGACCTTCGTCAAGCAATTCCCGTCCCATTGCCTCCATCATGCTCAACCTAACTGGGAAACTCGCGGGCTTAGGTGCTTTATCCGCATTGTTTACTGAAAGCAGTAACATCAATCTCTGCTGGCCCTCTGACTTGAGAGCAGAACGAGCCATGCTTGCATGCGCCAGTGTCGGAGGGTTGAAGCTCGAGTCTAGGACCACAAGATGCCGGACTGGGCGGCCGGGTCGGCGCGGCGCGGGGACATCAGAGGTATGGGGTAGAGTGCACAAGACACGGAATGCGTCTGAGGATGATTGGAAGGATGTGAGGGCACGAGAGAATGTGGAGACGAGTGTTCTTGGATCTATTGAGGGCATTTTGATTGATGTCGAGTTTTTGACGCTCATTATGTTGGAGTTGAATTGTGCATGAGTGAGTGACTATGAGGTACACGGACAAGGCATGAGGAGACGTGGGGTAACTGACATGGGGAGCCAGAGTCACCAAACCAAACCACAGTCACTTCTGCTGTCCTTCAATTCTCACAGACTTAGGATGCTAAATAAAACAGCTAAATTCTAGTCAAGGTTGGCATGAGATAACTCGATTGATTCGCTGTCTAGGCGCCTGGCGGTTAATTCTTCTGATGAATGCTATCATGTCTTCATACCTTAGCAGGGAGCGGGATGCTAGTCTGTACTAGTGTTCTTCGCCATGATGTCAAAAGCGACGAGTCCATGATGGGATACAAACAAACCTTTACATTGGATGAGAACTCTGGGCAGTTAAACCTTAGCATTTAACATGAGTATAGCATAGCTCGGTATTTATCATTCCTTGACCGAATTGTAAAATGGATTTCATTTTGACCACATTTAGTGCAGGGTAGCATTGTTGAAATTTGCGTTTACAGCGGTGATACAACAAGACTAAATCTTTCTGCTTGACTTGCAGTAAACGGTATAATTGTCGGATGAAGGGAATATTGGCGTCGTAGTGGCTGGATATATACAACATACGGTATGAGACACACGAAAGTGAGGCCGTCAAGGTGCGACAATGATCACGGCAAAGGTTCTCCATCATGACACCTCCAGCACAAACGCAATTGACACATCCAAATGCAGTTCACGCATAAAACAGCATCATTGCATGCACACAGTGTATCATAGCTTGAAGGCCTTGCATAAACCATTAACAGAAGAATATTCATAGCACACCAGCCACATCCCGAGAACAGTCATGGCCTACTCATGACCGGAGCCAACGACTCGTGCAGTTACATTCTGCTCCGGCACTTGTCATCAAATCTCGGCGAGAAGCACACCGCTAGCCAATGATCCACCGAGAAAAGTGAAGTAAAATTGCCAATGTTTGCATCGTAAAGAAAAAAATGCTGCACAATCCACAGTCAAGGCATTTCTTCTGCCTCTGCTTGGGTGAAGGCGTCGAAAGTGGGGCAATGTCGCTCGGCGCCTTTGCCCAAGCGCACCTGCCAAAATGCAACTGCCCCACTATTGATTTTACCTGCCGCTGCGGCTCCAAATTATTCTGCCGCCCAACTTTTAGGCGGTGAGCTGTGAGTGATTGGCAGCCCCACATACTGCCTATAAATATTCGTCGCTGCCGCCAGCTTTTGGACTTTTTTTTCTTTTCTTCTTCATGTCGACAATACTTCAGAGAATCATTTCTATAGTATTCGACCTTCTCTTGGTTCTCCAAAAGAGCCACAGATCCCACCCTGGTTGATGAGTGTATATCCTCGACACCCTAGAGTGAATACTTTGGTCCTCTCGCTCTGTCCGCAAGGATGGCGGTGGTTGCCTCGCGCAGCTGCTGTATAGAGAGTTTGTTTTCTCTTGATGATCTCGACCCTGACTGCGGTCTTGCCTTCGGGCGCGCGCTCGGGGTGGGTGTTGATGGACGTCTGACAGGCGTGTTTCTTTTCTCTTTTTCATTACTGTCTGGGGCTTGCCCTGGCTGTGAGGAAGAAGTTCTCTCGTGACATATGCTGCAGTTGCCATGGCGACAGACGCGTCGTGCTGTGTACTAAGTAATGTTCCTGCGGTGTGCGGAATGATGTACGGTCAGCCATCACGATTCGTATACGCCTAACCTTGTGGTTGATATCTATTACGAGTACGGAGTATTTACCATCCGATATATTGCCATGCCAAGATCTATCCAAAGTGCGCCTTCCCAGGTCCCACGCCTCGTCGACTTTCCGCGATTATTTTCTCCGAACCCGCACCCAAACATTTATTCATTACTCGTATCCTCTGGCGCTGCCGACATTCTTCGCTATGGTTTCCGCCCGTATACGTACCGCACCATCATATAACCATGCACTCGGCGGTTGAACAGCGCCTTGCGCATCGAAACAAGGAACTGCGCGTACTCTTCTCGGGGCCAGTTGAGCACATGATGCCAAAGATAAAACGTGTATCCTACCGGCGCTCATTAGAACACACGAACAAGAAACGCAAGCGCTGAAAGCATACCTTCAAGATCGTTCTCCAAAGTCAGTCTGACATACTCGCCTGTCTCAGCGAGCCTGCGATTGTTTGGCCATCCGCCTACAGGTACCTGTCGTCAGATGTTAACACTGCGAGCCCTCGAGCGATGCGACGCTGCACGTACTTTATAGTCAAATGTTCTGATGTCGGTGAAGCCGGCCTCCGCGATACTGCGCTCCTGTATCGTCTCTCTTTGCAGAAAGAACGGCCTTCCTGTCTCGATGCCACTCTGCTCAAAGAGGTCTCCCCACGTTTTGAGAGCAGGCTCACTGTCGGTAGTCCCGTCGTCGCAGTGGAAACGAACGTCGGCTTCGCATGATTGGACCCAGCCGCCTGGAGCACAGCAGCGATACGCTTCACAGAAGAGCGCCGGCCAGTCGTGGATGGCGCCGAACAGATAGCGTACATGAACGAAATCGAAGTAGTCATCCTTCCACGGCCATTGGAGAGTAGCATCTGCGACCTCGAAGTGCACGTTTGGAGGGACCCATTCTGGCTGGCAGGGTGAGAGGTCTGAGCCGATAACCTGGGCGCTGGGATAAGCGTCTGCAAAGTCTCTGCGACACTTGGTTAGCAGCAGGAAGTGGGCGGAGGGGATGGGAGACCTGCATTGCCCATATGCCAGATCCTGTACCGACATCCAGGACGGTCTGAACGTAGGGTGATATTGGAGCTAGGAATAGTTTACTGTCGAGGAGGACGGTAAGGTAGTGATGGCTGATATCAACCGATTGGAGCTGCTGCTCATCATTGGGAGTGAAATAGTCGGTGGCATGTCGGTCACTGTGATATGTGCGGCCTTGTATGGTTCTATATTCGAGTATGCTTGCTGTTATTGATTCTGGGTATAGGAAGCTGGCACTGAAGATAGACATGTGAGTGAGATATGTACGTGGTAATATGATATAGCAAGGAACTCACGCATCTGACCCGAGAGCTGAATCGACGTCGAAATTATCATCTTCATCTTGATCGAGGTCATCCTACAAAATACGAAAAGGGACCAGACGTTAACAGACAAACACTCAATGGCAATTAAACTGGGATTTACAAATAAGGTACGGGTAATTTGGTGTAGGTATGACATACTCCAGGGTCCTCTGCGGGGATGAGTTCAGCCTGCGGCGCGGGGGAAGATGGAGCTCCAGCGGATGCCGAATCAGCTCGAGCGGGGGCTGCAGAAGGAGAAACAGAAGCAGCAGCGAGAGAAGTGGTAGTGGCAGTGGGCGTAAGAGCAATAGGAGTGAGGGCTGTGGGGGTGTCTTGTTGTTGGTCCGTCATGATATCCATTCGTAACCGCAAGTACTGTTCCGTACAGGTTGTAGGCAGTCAGTGCCCGCTGTCTGTAGCTGCCCGGAAGGAGGTATGGATGCTGTCTGTGTCCGTGCCCGCGGAAGGTGTTGGGTCGTGTTGGTTGATGGGGATGTTGAAAGAGTGGAGTAGCTCCTTCCCTCCCCTCTTTACATTCAATGATTCAAAAAGAATAAATAAAGGGAAGGAAAGATAGATGGTTGTTCTAAAGTAGAGTATGGAAGGTCAAGCTAGACTAGAGCAAGTAGTAATAAAACCTTGATTATCAAGTGCAGCAAGGAAGAAGGAGCAAACAAAAAAACAAAACCCAACCCAACCCCTCATTCTCTTCCCTCTCCCGTTGTCTCGTCCTTTCTCGACGCCTTTTCATTAGACCTTTTAGTTCCCGTCCCTCCCGTAAGCGGGCAGTTACAGACCGCTAATCATGGGGGAATTTAAGTTAACTAGCCCAGGGCCCCAGAGCAGAGTGTTGAAAATGATAAGCAGATATCGCCTATACAGCAAGCAAGACAATTGTCTTCTAAGACTTAGGGCGCTAAAACAAGGCCTAAATGTATGTCTAAATTGCCATAATAAAGTGACGAAATTGTTTCGTCTCTTAGGCCTAAGACTAACATCAAGTATCTATATGCTTGATTTATTTCGTCTCTCTTTATTAGTGGCAGGTGCTACCCAGTCAACTTGGATGGTCTCGGATGTTTATCGACACTGAAGGCACTGCTTTTAGTTAGTGCAAACCTTGATCTGCATCATGCAACTCAACTCCAAACATCAACATCGACATCGACATCGACATCACGTCAACCGTATCACGTGGATTTCAACAAATTATTTGATCAAAACAACATCAAATTTCTATACATTGAGAACTATCCAAACTTCTATGCTTGAGTGCTGGCTGCATAAGTGAATGTAATAACATGTTTATAGAAAACTTGGCCAACAAAATTACCATTCTTAGATCCCACCAATAATGACACTCTGATATCGCCTGTCAAGTTGACGTTTCGGTTTACATCGCATTTAATAGCAACGGTCAGTCATGTAGTACTCGGTGTCTCATGATATTCGTCTCTACTTCAAACCGCGCAATATGGCACCAGTCATCCAGACTCATGGTATGCCAATCTGGAAGCTTATGCAGGAGGTGAGCGATGATGTGGTTCTGATATCGGTCAGCGCTGCGCCAAGTTCCGGGATCAATACTGCTTGTGTCATCCGGATTATAGCACTCAGTTGCATACTCTCGAAGGAACCAATCCTTCCAAGGGTTCCATTGACTGCTAATGGCGTACCTGTGGATGCGCCCTGGGCCATCGAAGTCTGTCTCGGCATCAGAATCTAGTACCGGGAAGGCATCTGTAGCGAAGGGCAACACTGCTTCACCAAGCATTTCCCACGACCTCTTGAAAAGCTCTCTGTCGTATCGGCCTGCCAGCATGCCTTCTTGAGCGATGTCGTAGAGTGCGTGTTCGATGTTTTTGAGGAGCGCCTCCTCTGAGTAGTCGATCATCTCATACTTGATCATCAGCTTGAGCTTTTCCTGGAAGATGTCAGCAATTTCACCGAAATAAGATTCTTCCCAGTTGGTCCATTTGCTGTGCAGATCGGCATGGAGCTTTCCCAAGAGCTCGCCCATGTAGGTAACCTCAAACCAGATTTTAAAATCATCACGGCAGTTGTCTGTTCTCGCAAGCTTAGCAAGACTGGGTGGGCATACCTTGTGCCACTCCCTCAATTTAAGGCCTCGGTTGGCGTGCTCGTTCAGTATTAGGGCCAGTACTGATGGACTCACGTGTGAGTTCATTGCAACCCCCAGCGGCGACGATGATCTGTACTTTGGCTTGCATATCATTTGGTTGAACCATGGGTTCTTTTCGTCGATACTCCGAGTGAATGATCCTTGAGCCAAGCTATCGAAGCGAGTTGGGGTAGGGAAGCCATGACTACTCAACATCTGAATCATGTTAAAAATGAGATCCATTCCGCGCTTGCTGGTACCTATCTTCAGCTGCTTCAGCAGAATCGGATGCATGTGGCCCGGCTTTACAATGTTGGGGCATCCGCTCTTGCACTCATCTCCCATTGAGCCTCTGCAATTCCATGTTGCGCATCAGCGCCTCTCTCAAGAAGCCACTTCAAGCCGTCGAGTACCCTTTCGCGAATCCTGTCGGTGATGGCAATCTGACTGTCCGTTGAGTTTGTACGGGAACAATCCTCGTACACATTGGATAGTAGAACGTCTATCGAGGTACGGTACTGAAAAGAAGGAAACAACCGCCGCGACCATAACTTGTCAATGGGCGCTGCGTTATAGTATTCGCAGCGGTTCATCATGGTAACGTTAGCTGTACGCAAGGCGCTGTAGAACATGTCATGGTCAATAGAGCGGAAGTAGTAAGGACAGGCGAGCTTGTTAAGCCGAGAACAGGTCTGGCTCAGATTATTGAGCCACTCTGATGCTGATTTTGCGTGGGACGAACCAATGATGGCGAGTTCGATGGTGTGTATCAAAGTCTCATTGGGTAGGTGGAGAAGCCCGGTGGTTTGCTGAAGTTGAGCCATGGTGATAGATGACTGAAGGATAGTCGAAGATATACGTTGTGATTTGTTTGTGGTGTTTATGGTGCTTGTGACCGATTTGTGTTCGTCTCTCGAATTTGCCTGAAAGATCGTTTATGTTGAGCTTCCAAAAGGTTTGTGATGGGGTCTATTTATGCCAGCAGAAACCCATGGGATTGAGGTGCGGTGACCGAACAGTAAGTATTGTTCGTGAAGAACCTGATAGTAGGCAATCGGCTAACAGGATTGTTCATGTAACCAGTTTGTGCTACTTTGAACAGGAAGAGGAATACCAAAGAACTTTCCGACGCTCACATTTGTTCTATAACATCACATTAGACTCTGGTTCTGTTCTTTCTCTATGACCACCATCATCACTTCGGGGCTCAGCTCAAGCTACCTACCTACCTAGGTAGATGTTCTTTGAAGTTTAGGGCGCCAAAACGTTCTAGACTAGATTCAAGTCTGAACTGACCTAAACCATCTACCTAAGCTATCCTATTTCTTAGGCTTTCTCTATCTGGCTTTATGATACCCTGACGATCCTTAGAAGGGTGAAACATGTGGAATCCTAGAAGACGATCTTGCTGGTCCTGGATGATACACAGCAAGGGGCAATGATCTTCATAGTCCAGACGATAATCGTTGTCGATCTTTTGATAAACTTCTTGGTGGAGAAAGGAAACAAATCACTTCTGAGATCTCTTGGTCTTTAATCATAGTGCCCTTTGTGTATTTCTGCCTTTCATGGTCTTTTTCTGAACAGGGTCTTGTGGTCAGGCTTGCTGACCCCTTTTGCCTGAGCCCTTGTCACTGCTATGTTGTATTTGCGAATGCAAGTCTCAAGACGGTAGCATTGGCTCTTTATCCGGGCTTTCTGCACATGTACCTTACATTATCACTGAAGGTCCTGGAGCCATTCTAATTCCATGGAGATAAAGGTAACTCTTGAGAGCCCAATACGCTTGCCTTTGCTACTAGTCTTTCGTGCTCTAAAGACGTTCAATGAGGGTGTTGCACAACAAAGAATACTTGCCGCTTCTCTGCCCTGGGCAATCCTTTGTTGGCGGTAGACGAAGATCAATCCGCCAAGACAACTTGTGCTCGAATATAGTAATTCATGCTTAGCCTAAACCAAAGGACCTGCAGCATTATCTGCATACTACCCCAAGATTTCGATGAACTGCCGGACTAGTCATGATCAGCAACGTTGTGAAAAATCCACGAGTCAAGAAGCATGAACCGCTTTGACATGCCAGGCCCCATCAGGTAGGTCATTGCTCTCGTATCGTGTCGTCGGATTTTACCATCTGGCCTTGTCTTCACCTGACTTTCTAACCAAACCTCACCATAGCATAAGCGTTGCATCTAGTCAAACTGTAAATAAAGAGCCAAGGACATTTCATTTTACTATCCCGGTTTTCAAAGACGTTATATCCGCTATATGGATACTTGGTGACATTTGACAGCTTGAATCTCCACACAAATTCTTGATAATGGTTGCTACTGTAGCAATCTCAAGGGGGGAACATCCATGTTTAAAACAGTTGTTGTACGATCCTTGGCTGAGTGACCACCTCATTGGGTGCGGAGAGCATCTGCCGATAGGTGCGCATCGCATCCCTTTTTTCTCTTTACGCGGATACGTCGGGTTTAATAGAAATCATCCCATGTTGCTTCTAGAAGAGAGAGAGAGGAGTTACTGTTACTGTTATTTCCTTTTGATATGAGCAAGGGGACGTATCTCTACAGATTTACCCACTAAAGACGAAACATTAGGTCCGATAAAAGAATCCACGAATCAGGAGTCTCGGTGTTACCCGATTCGGAAAAGGCCTCCGTCAAGGGTCCGTGGCTGTTTTGAGTAGTTTTGACCGAGTGACACTCTTTTCATGTAGACTACAGTAAATAGGGCTGCGATAGTACATGGCCAATGATCAAATCTTGTCTCCAACGCCGAGATGCCGTACGCCAAGGGGGGAGCTAAGCTATCCATGCCATGATAGTACCATAGCTTCCTCGTTTGGCATGGAGACCCCCCGATCTAATGAGGGACAGCTCGGTCTAGCTTGCGAGCTACCTATGCTTATATGAGCTTCGCGATATCCTCTCTGTTTCTAGTTCTTCTCTCATCTCTATCCACTCCTTCTTTTATATACAACCAGTAGCTGGGCCTCTGGTTCTCTTGTACATACATCCAAACTTCTGCTAGAGTCAGATATCCTTCAATATGCCTTCTCTCTTCAAGACCCTCTTCGCGGTCGCCGCTCTCCTTCCTTCAGCCCTCGGTGCTCTCCCTACCAAGGCTGAGGGTTTCGCCTCTAGCACCACCGGTGGTGGCAACGCTGGCGCCGTCTACCCCAAGAACGCCCAGGAGCTTGTCAGCTACCTCGGCGACTCCCAGCCTCGCAAGATCATGCTCGACCGCACCATCAGCTTCATCGGCACTGAGGGTTCAGCTTCCGAGACTGGTTGTGCTCCCTGGGGAACCGGCTCCAAGTGCCAGCTCGCCATCAACCAGAACGGCTGGTGCAACAACTACCAGCCCAACGCCCCTAAGGTCAACGTCAAGTACGACAAGGCCGGTGTTCTGGGTATCAAGGTCGGCTCCAACAAGTCTCTGATCGGTGTTGGTAGCAAGGGTGTTATCCGTGGAAAGGGTCTCCGCATCGTCGGAGCCAAGAACGTTATCATCCAGAACGTTCACATCACTGAGCTGAATCCTCAGCTCGTCTGGGGTGGTGATGCCATTACTCTTGACGATACCGACAACGTCTGGATCGACCATGTCACCACTTCTCTCATCGGCCGTCAGCACATTGTCCTCGGTAACAAGGCCTGCAACCGTGTTACCATCTCCAACAGCAAGATCGACGGTACCACCAACTGGTCCGCCAAGTGCAACAACTACCACTACTGGGGTCTCTACTTTGCTGGTTCCAACGACATGGTCACCCTCAAGAACAACTACATCTACCGTGTCTCTGGCCGTGGCCCCAAGGTCGCCGGCAACACTCTCCTCCACGCCGTCAACAACTTCTTCCACGACGTTCCCGAGCACTCCTTCGAGATCGACTCTGGCAGCGTTCTTGCCGAGGGTAACGTCTTCCAGAACGTCAAGAACCCCGTCAACTCCCAGGGTATCCAGGGCCAGCTCTTCGGTGTTCCCAACGGTGGTGGCGCTTGTGCTTCTGCTCTCGGCCGAAACTGCCAGATCAACGGCTTTGGCAGCTCTGGATCTCTCGGTGGTACCAGCACTGGCTTCCTTAACAACTTCAAGGGCAAGACCATTGCTTCTGCCTCTGACTACAACACCGCCAAGAGCGTCATGACCTCCGCTGGTTTCGGCATGGCTTAAATTAGACCTCCGTCTACTCAGCTTCGTTAGGGTTGACATCCTATCACTTCTTTGTACATAGTATACTTCAGCCTCTGGTTCTCTCCAGAGGCCTTTGTCCATAACAACTACATATTGCATGTTTTCACTCACATTGTTAATGTAAATGCAGATCCAAGTTGGTCTAACAATCATGTGGAATTGACCCATAGCCTTGGCCTTGTGACACCAGAAGAATTGGCCCCTGAAAGCATAAGGGACGAAATAATTTGGTCACTTATGTCCGCTTTACTTCTTTTATCATGGCAGCTTGAGCCTTAGAGGACATTTCTTCTATCACCGACCTGCCTTGGCTACTCAGATGACTTTCATGTATAATGAAGGGACCCAACACATGATTGTAATTTCCCAAACACCTGTCTTTTAAGTAACTCTAAGTAACGACTACAAGACAGCTGAGTAATGACCAACACCTTGGAATGATTGAACCCTTATCAAAATATCATTATAACCACGCCAATGCTGGTAGCTTATGAGCCCGTATAAAAGCAGTCATCCTTCTTAACGATGCAAACCCAAAATTGCGACTTCTCTTGTAATAGGCACCTTCAATGTTGTATGTATGATGTAGTGTATGTCCGATATTAACAACCCACGTAAATGCATTACTCCAGACAATCTTCAACTCGACCCCCTGCTCACTGATCAACATCTCAGGCCGGGAAGGCCATTCCCCTTGTCGATCTACCGATCGTCTTGTAGCTCTGGTATTTACCATCGGATCCCATGACATCAAATCTCTGCATGCCCATAGCATCAGATGTGTAGCCACTGAAGTAGTATCCGATAATAACAACCAAGTAGGTCAGCATAAGAATGCTGCCCTTGAAGTAGTTACTCTTTCCTTCACCATACATGTAGCTCAGCAAGAACACACACAGAATGACGGTGACAAGGTCCCACTGAGGGAACAGAAGCGAGAAAGTGTACAACGCCGGATCAGCACCTTCAGGCACTCCGGGCCAGAAGGCCGAGTAGAAAACGAGCGCAGGAATCTGAAGCAGGCACACTTGTAGGGCATAAGCTGAACCAATCTCCATGGACAGCGCAATATTTCCGTTCATAGCAAAGGAGATGGCGTTCTATCGGCGGTTAGTATATTGTTGTCACATAATGAACAGAGCAACTTACCAGAAATTCAGTTGTGTTGGGCACAAGAGCGAACAAGGTGATACCAAGGAACTTTTGATCAATCGCGAAGCTTTCCAAAACAACATCCACAGTGTCAACCAGGATTTCGGCAATGATGGCGTACAGGACTGTTGCTCCAAGAAGGATAATGGCACTCTTGGCGCGACTCCAGTTGGGGGCATCATGGCCACCGTGTGCTTGGTGAGCCTCGGTGGCAGGACCCTCCGTCTCGGCAGCTTCAACGTGGGTGTGTTGACGGCTTGGTGTAGGACGAGGGCCAGCTCCGTGATTAGCAGGAAGGGCGGATGGCTTTCTCGACATTCTTTCGCGCGAGGCAATGGTGGCAGCAGTGGCAGCAATCTCGGCAACCTCGCGCACAAGCATCTTGTTGTCGGCATCGCTGAGGCCTGGAACATGGAGAGTAGAGTGCGATGGTTCACCGCCGCTGGACTTGGGGGGTACGACATGAGGGGTTGATGCTGAGCCGTTGGTGGCAGCCGTCTGTCCAGCAGTGGAACTCTGGCGGGAAAGATCCTCTCCGAAACCAGATTGCTTCAGAGACTGGCCCAGAATTCGCTTGTAAAGCTGAGAATCACGAACGTCAGTACCGCTGGTCTCGGCAGTCGCTGGAGTGTGAGCATGAGGATGAACATGGCCATGGAGCTGAGAAGTGCGGAGACTTGATGAATGCATGTGCTCTTCGTGTCGCTTCTCCTCAACCTCGGCGTTCCAAATGACGGCAGCGTGAGTTCGGAGAGTAAACCATAGACCGATCAGATACGAGAAGAACAGCATAGTCGCTGCCATGTAACAGTAAGGACGCACAGCTTCAAGATAGAACCTGTCACTGAGTGATGGAGCCTGGCTGAAGTAACAGCGGCGGCAGTCTCTACCGTTTTCGCCAGTGTTGTAGTCCTCACAGTCCATGCAGTTAAGCTCGTGAGTTCCGTAGATCTGGTAAAACAGGGTTGGACCAAAAGCTCCTACAATAGCGAAGAGCAACATTGTCGATGTCACACCCGCGGATCGGGCATTGAAGCGCTGCGTCTTTCGTTTGATGGCACCAAAGCACATAGAAATTCCTGGCAAGAACAGAATACCAGCAAAAATACTACCCACGATACTGCCTTCAACAAGCTGGCCCTTGCCCTGTGTAAGAGCAACACAGTAAAGGAACACTTCAACAACAGTCGCAAAAAAAGCATTGATGGCAGCGCCCACGCCCATTGATGATTGTGCCGAAATAGAAGCAACAGCCTGTCCGATGAAGTAGGCCAGGGGGATGATAGAGAGGAGACCGGCACAGAAGAGGAAAGCGGGAGAGGTAATGAAGCCCTCGACATGGAAGACACCCTCAATCACGAGCCAGTCGAAAATGACGAAGAACACAACCACCATCAGGTTGATGAGGAAGATGTTGGTTCCGTCAACGGTATACTTCCAGTATCTTGACCCTACGGCACGGTAGGTGCAGAGGAGAACAGACGAGCTCGGACCGCCATCTTCACGAATGTATTTTATATCACTCTCGAATGACAAAGCCAGGGGGTGTCGTCGGAGGTGGTCGAACAGCAAAAATGTGGTCTTGCCCATGGGGATCCAGAAGACCAAGAACCAGCAGATGCCCGACACAAACAGAAGCGAGGGCGAGATGAGGCAGTAGAAAAAGACGAAAAAGATGACGCGGCCGATGTTCCATTCACCGCGACCGAACAGTCGTCTCTTGTACTGAGGAGACTCATCGGCCTCGATATGTTCACCACGTCGGCCTCGGCCAAGAAGACTTTCTGTCTCGCTAGGCTCCGAATCGATACTTCTTCTCGAACGTCCAACGATTGAACGGCTACGGTCAGCGGGTCCAAAGAAGAGTCGTCCGTACTCGAGGTCGCCGCTTTGCCATTGTTCATATTCCGAGATACTGCGCCCCTCGTCTTGGTCCTCGTGCATGTAGGTCTCGTCCTTTTCTAGGCGAACAAACTTGCCAAATGGGTAGAACAAATACCCGGCGAGGCCCCAAAGAACTCTACCATACTCTCTTCCACTGGGAGCAGCAGCAAAAAGCAGGCACACAATAGCGCCAGCGGCTGCTAAAGTGGCCATCCACCAGCCAAATAGGAGTGTCCAGAGCAGATTGAAGGTAAGAAGCCAGTTGTTAACACGACCTCCAGGAGCCGAGTGAATATCTGCTTGGGCGAACTTTTGAATCGAACGATCCTTTTTATACAATGCGGGCTTCCACACTCGAATACCGAAGGGGTGGGTTTGGTTGATCGCCTGTTGTCGATCTTTCAGGGTGAAACTCTCGGCCTCACTGACATCGCTATCTGAATCGTCCTGTTCTTCGATGGGAGTCTCCTCCTCGTCATCGTCGTTGTCATCGCGACCTTCGCCAGGGCTATCGGTGGACGGCTCGTTACTGTCATTGTTGTTGTCGTTGTCACCCTCATCGTTTGGATGCGATTGAACGCGGGAAAGCTGGGTCGGGAGCTGGGGTCTACGGCGGTAGGACTGTTGGCGCACAGCAGCGTCGGCTTCTACCTCGTGCACTTCATCTTCTGCTGAGAAGACGCCGCCACGATAGGGGGTGTTTGAAGATGGTCGTCGAGGCATTGGGGGTTTTCGCAATCGAGTAGCAGATCGCATTCTCTCGGGGCCGCGAGAAGGTCGTGAAGTTTGGGCAGGGCGAATCGAACTGCGCTCCTGGGACGTTTCTTTCGATTGTTGGGCAGAGCCTGAAGCTGGACCGCTTATCGCACCTAAAGAGAAATAAGATCAACCCTGGTCCATTCGCCAAAACAGGCATGAAACCTACCATAACCCTCTGGTCTAGGTCGCACTGTGTCTGAAGACTGGAAGCTTTCGGACATGTTATCACCGCGAAGAACAGGAGATGCGGCAGACTCGGGCTGGGCAGTCGGGCGACGCGTGTCGGCGGGAGATGCATTGCCGGACGATTCGTCGCCAAGATGGCGCCCAGGCGACGAGGTTTCTCGTCTCGAAGGATCCATAGTGGAGGGCAAAGAATACACAACTCTGTCACAAGAAATCTGGATTTGTTGTAAAAAGGCGAATAAACAAGAAGAGAAGCAGTACAGTAGACACAGCCGCAAGAATGCGATCAGACGCGAGGTGTCCCTGTTTCTGTTCTCGAAGTAGCTGGACAACCGCAGAAAGTGGGAATGCCGAGCATGCCAATGTCACGATGCAGTACCTAGAAAGTCATACAATCAATGCGATGCGATGATGGAGGCGGTCCAAGCGACTGGAAATCGAGATGAAACGAGATAGATTGGGCAGAGCGGGACTGTTGGGTTTTGAAGGTTGAATTAATCCCAGTCGACTCGAGTCGTCGTCTGTGTCTCTCTACCTTGGGCAGAAAGGCAAACGAAGATGATGGAAAGGAGACCGACGGCGTGTCCGAATGAGAACCAAGGAATTGGTGGTACTTGAGCCGCAGAGAGCTTTCCAAAAGTAAAATCCGCTAGAGAGACCTAGCAGAGAAGGAGGAAGTGCAATCAAGGCAAGGTGATTACCAAAACAACTCTCCAGTAAGAGAATAGACTTTTGAGGAGGCAGGTAGGGTAGGGACCTTTGTATGTAGGTAAGAAAAGAGGAACGAGATCAACAGACCAGGCCAGACCGTATTTCTTGGGGTTCCATTACAAAGAAACTTTCCGAGTACTATCTATATTACTCACATATCAACCCAATCTGTATACATTATGTACATACACGATATAAACAAGCGTGGTTTCAACTCATAGCGTAGGCAATCGACATCGCATCGACAATTCTCCATGAATTCTCTAGGCTATTTGATCCACAATAACCAAGCTCGCAGCTCGTGATCAGCCAACTTTCCCCATGACAGTTTAGTGTGTCTTGCCGCACCTCGCGCGTGTTCCCCCCTGTCCAATGAACCAACGTCATTCTGCATCCCCAGGGTCTTGAATAGTACCAATGGGCGGCTCTTTGCACGACTTTGATGCTTGATGAATAGAGGGGTACAAGGAAACTCGCTTCTGTAAGATAAGAAAAGATTCGTGAGAAGTGATAGAAAGCGGTGTTAGCGGCAAATAAATCTTCTATGGTTGTGATCTGAGTAATGCTCAGCGTGCCATTAACGACAATCCCCATGCACAGTAACAGTTGTGGTCAGCTTCATGAGTCTTCGATCAACAAGTCTTAGGCTCAAGCGGTCTAGCATGTCTCAGTGGGGGCAGCGCGGCAGAGAGCTCGCCGATAGTGGAGTATCCAAGACTTACGGTGCTGGGTCTTTAGTGCCTGGAGTGTTGAAGTCGATTAAACTTACCCTGTACGTCCATCGCCCGGACGACGGCGCAACATAACCCCGAGCTGGACACTGGGCAGCTCCAACCTTGGTTGGTCTGTGCACTCACTCGCCTTGGAGGATTACGAGACAAGCTGTAGCCTTGTCATCGAGCTTCAACCACATCGCATACCATCACCAACGGCGCTTTCAATTCACGACCCCATCACCACCCTCTACTACGCCTCGAACCGGTAATTTGAACAAATCGAGCAAATCTCTCGATCCTACTCTCCGAACCACATATCACAGCTCGTTTCCCTGACGTCAAGGGAGCTACGCCAAGATGGCGCTCGACGAGTACTACCACAACAAGATCGAGGGCATGAAGCTCGAGATTCTCAAGGGTCAAGCCGCGCTTCGTCGCCTTGAAGCTCAGAGAAACGACTACAACTCCCGAGTGCGATTGTTGAGAGAAGAACTTGGTCTGTTGCAGCAGCCCGGATCCTATGTCGGCGAGGTTGTCAAGGTCATGAGTACCAAGAAGATTCTCGTCAAGGTGCACCCAGAAGGCAAATATGGTATGACGACCTTGCTATAGTAATCCTTGACCAATGTATACTCACACTGAATTAGTCGTCGATGTATCCGATAGCGTCGACATTGGCAAGCTCACCCCAGGAAAGCGAGTCACTCTACTATCCGATAGTTACAAGTTAGAGAAGATGCTACCTTCCTCCGTCGATCCCCTCGTCTCTCTCATGATGGTTGAAAAGGTTCCCGACAGCACATACGACATGATTGGTGGTTTGGACCAGCAAATTAAGGAGATCAAAGAGGTTATCGAACTCGGTCTCAAGCACCCCGAACTCTTCGAGTCTCTGGGTATCGCACAGCCCAAGGGTGTTTTGCTATACGGTCCCCCCGGTACAGGAAAGACACTGTTGGCGCGAGCTGTCGCTCATCATACTGCCTGTAAATTTATTCGAGTGTCAGGTTCCGAGCTGGTGCAGAAGTATATCGGTGAGGGTAGTCGAATGGTTCGAGAGCTGTTCGTTATGGCTCGAGAACACGCCCCATCAATCATCTTCATGGATGAGATCGACAGCATTGGTTCATCGCGAGTGGAGGGCTCTTCGGGTGGTGACTCCGAAGTCCAGCGAACTATGCTGGAGTTGCTCAACCAGCTTGACGGTTTCGAGCCTACTAAGAACATCAAGGTTATCATGGCCACCAACCGTCTCGACATTCTCGATCCTGCTCTCTTGCGACCAGGACGTATCGACCGAAAGATCGAGTTCCCCCCACCCAGCGTTGAAGCTCGAGCAGATATTCTCCGTATTCACAGCCGCAAGATGAACCTGACCCGCGGTATCAACCTCACCAAGATTGCTGAGAAGATGAACGGATGCTCTGGAGCTGAGCTTAAGGGTGTGTGCACAGAAGCCGGTATGTACGCTCTGCGTGAACGAAGAGTGCATGTCACACAAGAAGACTTTGAGCTTGCCACGGCAAAGATTCTCAACAAGCACGACGACAAGGAAGTGTCTCTCGGCAAGCTCTGGAAGTGAGAAAATTACGACAAGGGGCGTTCTTTTATTCATCCATCTTCATTTCGTCTCTGCTGTTGGTACATCTCCTGGGTTCGAAACAGCGCCTGGTCATTCATAGATGGGTTGTGTTATAACAGCGGGAGTGGAGTTGTAAGGATAGCAAATTGTACCAATAGTGGACACAATCATATGAAGCTACACACGCAATTCTACTTGGGGTTTGTGATCTCGCCTTGTGATATCTGCGCTGTCAGTTCGAGTGCGTATGATGGCTTAACTTTGACCCCGTGACTAGAGACCAGACTCTTGAATGCGTATCTTTAAAAGTTACCCCTTGCATGCCCAGCAAACGGTGGCTTCAGGAGCCGGATACGGTATTCAAGGTAAACAGTAAACAAAAACATGGAAATTTGTCTTGAATTGCATCAGCTGGTTTATTGGAGATCCTTACACGTCTCAAGCCTCAAAGCCTCAGAGCCATATTGATGATGCCGGAGCGGCCGCTCCGCTGGCACATGAGACATATGTCCCGTGAATGTCAGACTGCTATGTATCCAAGTTACCACCTTAGGTCCTAAGGTAGCTACTGCTTTTGGTGGTCCAACAGTGAAGTGTCGGCTAAGACATCATTTTAGAACGAGGTTATTTCCATCACAGCTGGCTTAGTAGTTAGGCGTTGTGGCGTTAGAAGAATTAGCTGGCAAAAGCATAAGAGACGAAATGATTTGTTCACTCTATGTGAGCTTAGAGTTAGCTTTTAGGCTACTCTATTTTGGAACTCTAAGTCTAAGATGATTTCTCTTCTGTTATCTATATGTTTGGCCAATTTAGAAGACAAGGAAATAATGCTTCGGCGAACTGCAAAAACATAGAGTCACAGAGGAGGAAGGTAGCTGCCATGGCTCATGTTATTTGTTAATTATATGGTATATGCTAATTCCTAGCGTTTTCGACATATATGTCTTGACCAAAAGATCGGATGATCTGTAGGTGGCCTTGATGTTTGACAGTTATTGATAACCCCGACCATGGGAGAGTCAACTTGTCTTGTTACCAGGAAATCCAACATGACGCGGACACACCATTCATCTGAAATGAAGCTTATAACAAATTGTCATGTTTAGGTAGTCTAAAGAAGCCCAAGATATCTTCGACTTTATGATATCTTATTATCAATTATCATAATGTTTCACAAGTGAAGCTTTCATTATAGCCGTATCAGTCAACTATTACTAACCATGGTGTTTTCGACGCATCGACCAAGACCAGCTATCTTGAGTCTAGCCCATCTCTCGACCCGTTCCACAAGCTCAACTTGACGCCGTCCGGGCGCCCCGACTATCCGCACGAGTTTCAAGGCCTCGAGTCGTGTGTCACGCTAACAGATTCATGCTTCCCAGGTACGAACAACTTATCTTCCTAAAACCAAGATGTGTAAGAATTAGAAACAGGATATTTCTTGGTACTTTGGTCAACTGATTGCTCTACCGGTGAAGCCTGATCTTTTTTGAGAAAATTGAGTTTTTGTAAGATCAAGTTATATATTGGGCTAGTGGTGATAATGAGCTGATGTGCTGGGCGGTGTACAGGGACCAGGGACTCTCGGAAGATAGATCTGGAGAGCTGGTCGTGATGCTGGTATGCGAGGGTAGTTGTGATGTGCTCATGACGGACTTCGTTACTATAGCGAGTCAGTGAGGCTTTGGCGGTTTTGAGACTTGAGATGGACCCTGTGGTAAGAGATAGCCAGGTGGATAGCAGAAGAATTGTCTTCCGAGGCTTCAAGTCGCCAAAATAAAGTAGCCTAAGTGCTTCTCTAAGCTCGTATAAGGTGACTAAATTATTTCGTCTCTTATGCTCTTAGCGGCCAGTTCTTCTAATATCCTGACACGATCGAGATGTGTTGTAAGTGATTGGCTTCTAGAATATCGTAATACAGACGTAGTTTTCGCGCAACGCAGTAATATTTAGACGAGCATTGGATGGAACTAGCTTGAGGACAGGCCATGTTTAGCAGTTGGACAACCCAAGTCAACAAAAGCATCGTACACCTGACAACAGGAACAAAACATTCTTTAGCAACTCGTGCCGTTGAAGAATGTCCGAAGATCAGGGTACCAACCATCTCGACCGATATACCCAACCAGTCGGAAGCGAGGAGGTGTTGTTTCCATATCACACCCCA